TCTATAGTGTAGCCCAGTTTCCTAGACTCTTTCTTCTTACAACAGCCACCTAAAACATGAAAATAACTAGAGTCACAGGCCTCAGCACTTTGAATATATTAAGGAAATTTCCTTTCTTGCCACACAGTCCTAACACCTGTTTACTTAGAATGAACTCATTAAATTAACTTATTGAAATTATGGTTTTATTATGGAAAAGAAAAAAACATGAGAGCAACCATCATGGAGAGTTGCTCTGTATTGGAGGCTTGTGGCTCCAACAGGAATTATAAGCCAACATCTTAACAAGTGGAGTCCTACCCCACCAGAGTGCACAGACAGAGGAGACAGAATGGAAAGAGTACACATAAGCCATTTTACAAGGAGGATTTGGGGAAGAGATGGTGTCTACATCAACTGAAGGAAGAGGAATGGAAGAAGTTCACAGACATCACACTGAGCCAAGTGACTGGCAACTCTTGGCTTCAGAGGAGTCTATCTTAACTGTGGCTCTAGAGTGTATGGATAGATACAAATTTTGACAGTTGCTATAAGAACCTCAGGATGATTTGACATGTCACAAGCCCATTGAAAGATTGTCATAAATGTTAGTGGCTGGTGACATGTTAATAAATACTATAGATTTATGTGTTAGACCTGCTAGCTCTGGGTTGGATGACCTTCCACTGTTTAAGTCTGAGTTTCATCAACACCTACAACAGAGCTACTGTACTGGTGAAAAAAATGACATGGAAAGCAGTTAACATGTGTGACAGAGTTCACTGTCAGTAAATACTCACTAGGACAGCTTGTCTAGATGTAGAGGATCCTAATCCCAAATACATCTCTGTCACCTCATCCTCTTATTTGACTTCATGGAGTCTATTTTCTTCCTGAATATACAGTTCTGGAAAGACTATGCACAGAGGCTCATGCCACAATTCAGTGTGTAATAAGTCCTCAGAAGGCACATTCTTGCGTTTGCAATGCCCCATGCTTCTGCTGAGTTTCTGAGTACCACACTTGTTGCTCAGAGAAAGGGAATTTCCCCAGTAGAGGCCAAGGGTATAGATGAGAATGAAATTGACATAACAGATAAGGTCAGGGGCACGAATTCAAGAAAACCTTTCCTCTTCACTAAGAGGATTCTTAGTGAAGAAGATGGAGACAGGAGCGGCACTTTCTCCTGGGCATCCTAGTATGCTAGGGATACCTGGGCAATCTGCTTCTAGGATAGCTGCTTTCATCTGCCACTGGGAGGTCCCCAAACCCAAGTTCACTGAGAACAAGGCCCCATTCCCAGGTACTTTCACCTTCTGAGACTCAGCCCTATGCCAAAGAAAGAGCAGGGCTTGTGAGTCAGACAAAGCTAGACTTGAATTTGAACTTTGTCAATCATTGATCAAGTAAACTTGGGAAAGCCTCAATTATTTGGAGCCCAAAGTAGTTTGTATATTCTATATAGGTAATAAGATGGACCTGTTAGAGCTGACATGAAGATTAAAAAAGAGTCCAGGCTCAGAAATTAATATCTACAAAATAAATACAGAAGAAGGGAAAGGCAATATAGATGGAGGAAATACAGGGTACTTTGTAAAGAATTCTGTAATTTTAGAAAAAGAAGAGTCCAGGAAAGAGTAGTCTGGCACATGTGTTGATTTATTTCCATGTTTGATATCTTTGGTTTTGTTTGCCTATCATCCTTTACAAGCCAGTCTTCTGCAGAGAGTGGCTGGGAATATACAAAGATGGTTCAAGAACTTGGGAGTTATTTAGGAGATACACTGGGTAATTTAAGTAGAAGCATATGTGACATACTTTCTCTCTTCTTTCCAGAATCTTGACTTTGAAAAGTACTAAACAGTGGTGAGCCACTGAAATAAACATGACAATAACAGATGTGCCCTAAGAGAGTCCTTTAGCATCTCTAAGCCACCCTTTAGGACATGGAGCACCATCATTCTGTCTCCAAACACATTAACCTGCACTGGTGCATCTCCCCTCCTTGGAGCTAAATATGCATCTGTAGGGAATTCTTCTCCCTAAAGTCCTGTCTCTTTCAGTCACTGCCTCTTTCAGAAAGACAACTGAATGCACTGTCATGATCTCACAGCTTCTTGTCATGCTCCCTAACAGACAGGTCTCACAAGGGTAGGAGCTGTGTCTATCTGGCTCCCACTGTGAGTACACAGCCCTGTCCACAAAAGATGCTCAGTGGAAAGTCATCCTAGTGGGAAAAGAAAGGCCATGCAACGCCCTGCTTTGTTCAGAAAGATGGAACAGCACAAAGTAGATGTTAATAGAAAAATCCTAGCTTACATTTATATTGCAGGTGGACACACCAAAAAAAAAAAGAAAACATGCATACACCCATCACAGATCTGACTCTGGCTCTGGACTCCTTAGTGAAGAAACGGTGTTGTGTGAACAAACGGCTCTGTTGTGTGAAGTTATTGCAGAAGCACTCAACTCAGGAATAGAGAGCCAAATGAGGACTGATATTCTCTCTCTCTCTCTCTCTCTCTCTCTCTCTCTCTCTCTCTCTCTCTCTCTCTCTCTCTCTCTCTCTCTCTCTCTCTCTCTCTCTCACACACACACACACACACACACACACCAGGCAAGAAAGTAGGCTCTGGCCCCGTTGTGAAGGAGGGTTTCAATGGATGAAGGCGGGGGTGAGAGGGGAGTGAGGAGTAAAAATGACTAGATTTCAAGAATAGAGGAAAGCAGGATGAGAGATACCAAAATAGACCGAGTCATTATAGGCTTGAGGAGAGAGCTGACACTAGCGAGATCTCCCCAGAGATCTACAAAGATAACACAAACTGGCAAACTAAACAATAGTAGAGAGACTTCACTAATAGCCCCTCCTTGATGATAGGGTTGATGACTACTCTATATGCCATCCTAGAACCTTCATCCAGGGACTGATGGAAGCAGAGACAGATACCCACAGCTAAACACTGAACTGAACTCCTGGGATGTAGTGACAGACATGGAGGAGTGATGAGCAAAGGGGTCAAGACCATGATGGTGAAATCCACAAAGACAGCTGACCAGATAAGGGGGAGCTCTTGAATCCAAGCCTGATGGCTGAGAGGCCAACAGGGGACTGATCCAGTCCCCATGAATGTAGTGCCAGGCAGGAGGCCACAGAAATCACTGGGGCCTTGGGTAGTAGATCAGTGTTTACCATGGTTTATGAATGAGCTTTGGGAGCCCATTCCAAATAGAGGGATGCTCTCTCAGCCTGGACACATGGGGAAGGGCCTAGGTCCTACCCTGGATGAAATGACAGACTTTAGAGATCCCCCCAAGGAGGGCCTCACCCTCCCTGGGGAATGATGTGGGGATTGGGTGGGGCGCGGGGGGGCTGGTGGAGGGACAAGGGAGGAGGAGTGGGAGAGGGATCTGGGACTGACATGTGAAACATTCACGCTTCTAATTTAAATAAAAACATATATTGAGAAAAAAGAAAATACCAAAGAATCCAGGTAAGCTAAAAAAAAAAACTTATGAAACCATCAGACAATAAAAAATACTCAAGATAAAAAGCAACCATGATTTTCTTCAGGCTGGAGGAGATAAAGTATATTCCCCTGTTGATTTCTTTCTAGATTTCCCAAACAATGAAATATATATATTCTTTCATTTTTAGAATAAAATTTGTTAACAGGAAATTGATTTTATCCTCTTATATTAAGCAGAAATCATGGATCTTCCTTGTTTTAGTAAAAATATAAAACTGAAACCACAAAAGGTCAGGTATTTTTTGAAAATACTACCCACTCGGGACTGACTGGATCCCAGAGAACCCCAGCATCCTATTGTCAGCCATTAACAGTTCTCTGACTGGGACATGTGTTCCTACATCCCTGCAATGTGAGGCCAAGGCATGTTTCTTAAAGCAACCAGCTTTCTTAAGGATGTCACCATATCAAAGGGTTTAGGTTTGGAACCAGGAACCTTGTACCGTTTTTTCTCTGCCACCTGGCACAAATCATGCCTGTGCCTGGCCTCAATGTCTCATTAATGACCGGGGAAAAGCATGCGGGATGATTGTTAAGCATTCAGCTGTCAGTCAGATTCTTTTCTTTTCCTGTTCTAGTATCTCAGACCCCAATTCTTCATGATGAAGTATTTTAGCAAACCATCTTTGAGATTTAAAGACCTCTTGTCTCAGAAGACAGATGGCTACAAACAAGGAGGTGTCCCCATGGGTGCATTTGCCACATGAATGCTGTACAGGACAAGGTGCCCCGGTTTCTTATCCCTCTCTCAACTGGAGCCCCAAATTCTGGGAATTCTTAGCTCTTGTCGGGAAGCTAGCAGAGATGACCACTCCTCAGGGGTAGCTAATGAACATCTCACTCTAATGCTCCTGTTGAAGTACAAGTATTCGAACCACTGTGGTGTGTGTGTGTGTGTGTGTGTGTGTGTGTGTGTGTGTGTGTGTGTTGTAAGGCCAGAGAAAGAAAATGACACCCCAACCCTCTCCCCACACATAGACAAGGCCCTTCACACACTTCCAATTCCACAGGTAGAAAGACCAAATACATAATAGAGTGTTCAAAGGCTGTAGATGGCCTAGTTGGCAGTGCCCTGTGTTTTCTTCCCCTCTGCTTTGGATATATCACTTAGAATATATATATATATATATATATATATATATATATATATATATATATATATATACTACTCACTCACTAACCAGGGAATTCTCAGTCAAATCTCCTTTGTCCAGTCTGATCTTAGAGTACGTATTGCTCTTCTATGTATCTGCTTCTACGCTACGCACAACACTACCCTTTGAGGACCACCTCTGCAAAGACCATCCAGCACCCAGCAAATAATAGCACTTCACTCTTAACTAAAGGAATAAAAACCAGAGTGACGTTAAGCCTGAAGATGAAACACTAACCCAGCCACAGCAACAAGATTTCTAGCCTGTGGAAGAGACTTTGGTCACCAGGCTGGAGGGCCACAAAGGTGGCAGCTATGAGAAACTGATGTTGACATACCTTTTTGGTCTTTACTGTGGAGGTGCAGCAGTCCCCACCATCGTAGTTGCAGAAGGCTCGATTGTTGATGGCATCACAGTAGTTGTCTCCCATGAATGGCTATAATGGGGACAGGAGCAGAAAGAGAATGAGGCTTTGATGTCATCATGGCATGAAAGTCGGCTTGCTCTCAGTAGTTCACTGAGGCCTCTGTGGCTGTTTGGCAGTCACTCATCTTCTAGCAAACCTCTATCACCAGCCAGTTTGGCTGCCAATCCCAACAGCCCCTTGGGTAAGTTTGCATTTTTACCATTTATAAGCATTTTCATATGCCACATTTTTCCCTGCTGGAGTATGGGTATATTGAGAATCATATTTTGTTTGCTACAGCATGAAAATTAAAACACAAAATATACCCCTTCTTTCTTTCTGAATTAGAAGGGACAATTTAGTTTAAGACATAAGACAATTTACATTTCTGTCTTAATATTTATTTAATTTATTAAATTATGTATAGACAAATTAGGAATCTGGGTGTAAACTATCAGAAATGCAAACATGAGAATTATGGATTTATAGGGGTTAGAATGAAGGATGTGTGTATTAATCGTGGCCTCTAGTGGCTTTCTTTTTTTTTAAGGTTTATTTATTTGTTATGTATACAGTGTTCTGCCTGCACGTATCCCTGCAGGCCAGAAGAGGACACCAGATGTCATTACAGATGGTTGTGAGCCACCATGTGGGTGCTGGGAATTGAACTCAGGACCTTTGGAAGAGCAGGCAGTGCTCTTAACCTCTGAGCCATCTCTCCAGCCCCGTCTCTAGTGGCTTTCTTAACAAGAATATAGATCTACTGTATCTGATGCCTTTGCAGATCTCATTATACTTTTTCCCTAAAAATGTGACATCAGCATGATTATGCCCACTTCATAGGCAATGCCTGGAGAATAAGGAAAACAAAATGACTTGGTCATAATCATATAAGAATAAAAAGAAAAAAAAAGGGGTTGTGATGTAAACATGTTTGTTTCTGTTTCCCCAACTCTCCTATCCATTCTATGGTCTTCCATTTCACATTGACTTATTTTCTTCAATGAGTTCTGTAAACTTTGAGTTACTCCAAAAGTGAGGGAAGACAGAGGGACATTGTTGCTGACTTGAATCCTCAGGATCTGACAAAATTCCAGGAGTGTCTTTGATGACACCAGTGTGTGTGTGTGTGTGTGTGTGTGTGTGTGTGTATGTGTGTTTCCCCACGCAAGTTTTCAACATGGTATGTTATATGTCTGTTTAAGTGTCTATAATAGAAGGAGACTTTCAGGCCCTGAAAACACAAGCAGTGTTCAATTCATCTGTGTCTCCTAATCACCTAGAAACCTGCCTTAAGGTGCTGGTGTGCTGTCTCAGTACACTACCTTCCCATCTTGGCTGGCTCTGGAGAGAATCAAGTTCACAAGGAGTCTAAGCCTTATTGTATGACTGGCTTTGCATATGTCTTCAAATTCTTGTCTATACAACCTCTGTGCTTGCCACTGTTAGTGCCAAATTCACGTTTTATGTTTTCTCATTTAGAGTGTAATACAGATCTTAGTAAGTTGGAGTTAATATTAAGTGTTGAGTTCAGATATATGAGTACACATACACACACACACACACACACACACACACACACACACACACAGAGGGGACGGGTTTCAAGTTGAGGAATGACTCTACCATGTAACTTTCATGGTCTACACACTGTTACATTCATATTCAACAACAAAGCATAAGCCCCTTCCATTTGAATTCCTTCTTATATAGTGTGTGGATAGATTAGTAAAGGTGAATTATAGTCCCTTCCCAAAATGAAAAATACTGGGTTGGAAAAGGAGTAGTTGGTTTTTCAAATGTGATCTCTTCCTGGAGTGCCATTTCCTGTATCCATAATCATTCATCTCTCTATCCATACATACATACATCCACACATCCACTCTTCCACATATCCCCTATCCATCTTGATCCTATCTATGAAAAAAAGGTCTTTAATCAAACAGTCACTTAGCGCTGTTATAGTAAATAAAGCATTTGATCTTGTCTGAGATTGTTCAGCGAAAGGGTCCTAGAAGAAATGGCATTTAGTGGAGACCATAATAACAAATAGGAGTTATTAAGTGGGGTGTGAGGAAAAAACTTTAGGGATAGAAAACATCATGGAAAAGCTAGCTGTGTAGAGATTCATACCATATCCAGTTAGTATTTTCAATAATAAGACATTCAGCAGACAAAATCCATCCTTTATGATACGGCTCAAAAAATCATCTTGAGCCGGGCGTTGGTGGCGCTCGCCTTTAATTCCAGCAGAGGAGGCAGAGGCAGGCGGATCTCTGTGAGTTCGAGGCCACCCTGGTCTACCGAGCGAGTTCCAGGACAGCCTCCAAAACAATGCAGAGAAGCCCCGTCTCAAAAAAAAAAATCATCTTGACCCATCCTTATACTATTTCTAGTGGCCCCTGAATGCTTTATGTTTCCACAGCCTCTTGTATTTATTTTACAGTTGGGAACATAATCTTGTCTTCTTTGTTATTATTGTGGGTTTTCACCAGGCCAGATGTGTTTCTTCTGGTTTTATACCCTTAATTTCCCGGAAAATGTCTTACAACTTACACAAAAAATGTCAAATATATGGTCAGCAAATATTTAGTAAAATGGATAATGGAATAGTAGATTTTGGGTGGACATATGGGGGAGAAAAGGTATCATGGGTGGCTCTGTGACAGGTGACAAAGCTGCTATTTTAACTTGCATGAAACTATGTACCCAGAACTTTGAATAATGACTGACAACATGATGTACTCCAAGAGGCTTTGAATAAATGAGCAAGCATATAATTGAACATAGGCACGGTTTTGAACAGAGAGAGGGTGCCCAGAGGTCCTTTCTGTGAAGTGTCTAGACTTGTTCTGGCCACTTGGGGTTGTATAGTTTATTTCTGATCCCAGCATTTATTTCTCTTTTGAGCATCCTATTATCTCTTGATAAGACACAGATGGGCACTAGACTAGGAAGGACCAAAGAGGCTGAGAGGTACCTGCAGCGGTAAAGGTGATAAGCATCACTGTCAGGGTTCAGTGCCTGACAGTGACAGAGGGTCTCTTGGCTTCAATGCTGAGTCAAAGAAGGGATCAAATTCTGCTGTCACACTGAATGGCCAGACTGCCAACTCAGCATAATGAATTATCAGGTAACGCAAGATGCCTTTCCCCAAAACTCAGCATTGATTCAAAGAGATGGAAAGAAGCAACAGTGGCCATATTCTACCATTCTGAATGAAGCTTGAAGGAATGGGACTCCTTAATGACTATACCATGATGCCTTCCCTGAAAAAACACATTTAAAGTTACTAACCACAACAGAAAGAAATGTGTGGTCCCTATTGTTTATTAAGTGGATATGAGCAGGTGGTAGATACCAGAGAAGGAAAAGCAGGTTGGCAGTCAGAAAATCTGTGCTCATGTTTTGACTATCATGCTGTACAAACTTAGACCACCACACTCCTCTCTGACCCTAATTTTTCTGTTCACACTGTAATCAGGTAGTACTAGGTCATGTTGGAAACATCCTAAATTTGGGACTTCCATCAAATTATCCAGAAGACAACTGCCTGGATCTGTTTCCTTCAAAAAATGATTGGGTTTAGATGACTTTTTTATTTAAAGAGCATTTCTAGCTCGTACATTCTTTTAAGGACACGAATGAGGTCCTCTGGCTGCAGTCCTCTTAGTGGGCTACTCAGAGAGACTACAGAGCTTTGATACCCATCCAGGAGTTGCTGTAAGTCTCCTTTCCAGCCCCATCTGAGAAGAATGGGGGCATATATTTCTTTCTATGCATTTTCTAGGGAGACTGTGTTGAATCCTCTCAGAAAGTGACAGGATTGATTCAGGAAAATGGCTCTGGTTTCCTTGGAAGCTTTTCCTAGAGAAAACAGCTATATCCCAAAAACGTGACTGCTGACTCCATTCCCAAACTCTCAGTGATGGACAGAGTCAGCTCTCAATCACTCCAAGCCCAGGGAATGGCTTAATTGCGAAGGCAGAAACTTTGAAGGTCAGAGAGGATCTTCCACTTAAATTCAGTGGTTCACTCAAAAGATTATCTCTGGGACTGAAGAAACAGTAAATGAGCAAGGCAGAAAATATCTAGATGTAATGGTCATCAGTAAAATGAAATTAAGAAGAAAAATTACCTCATGCGGCACTATAAAGGTTGAATGTTCTATGATATTAAAATAGCTGCTGTGTTATTCATGTTATATAAACATGACTTATGTTGCCTTATTTCCATATATTTTGTCGCCCTGTATACTTATTTACATGTTGCGGGACACACATGCACGTATATGTTGTGTGAAAGCTTCACATTGATGTCAGATGTTTTCTTCAATTCTTCTCTACCTTATTTGTTGAGCCAGGTCTCTTACTAAACCTCCACCTCACTGTACTGTATGACTGGGCTGACTGGATAGGGAGTTCCGAGGATGCCCTTGGCTCTACTTCTCTGATGTGGATATTACAAGTATATACTATAATGTCTGGGTTTTTTTTCCTTGAGTGCTGGATCTGAACTCAAGTCCTCAGGTTTGCATAGCAATCATATCTTTGACTGACCATCTTCTTAGCCTCTGTGTTCCAATAATATTTGGGTATGGGCTTTGCAGAAAGAAAAGCCTGACTTGAACACTCAGCACTGTCATAGTCTTTCCTTTTTTTCCAGTATGTTTCTTCTATCTCTCTATGGGGATTCTATCATCTGTAGAATACAGCGACACTTCTGCTTCATTAGTAACAACTATACTGATGCAAGCATACAATGCTTAGTAGGCCTAGTAAACTGTAACCATCAAAAGTACAGCACCACCAGAATTACGGCTTCTGAGCGGAGGTATCTCCTCTTGTCACTCACCTCACAGCCTTTGACACAGTGGATTAGAGCAGGGTGGGGGTACCACTGGAGACCAGCAGTGCAGACAATCCTCTGCGGAGAGAGAGAGGGACAGGGATCAGGCAGGTCTGGGCTGAGGAGCAAACCAGTTTTTTGTTATGACCACATTAAACTACCTTACCTCTTCTGGACCATCCAAGTCCTGACCTCCCCCTGGTAGTTACCTGAAGAATTTGCCCAGGTGCTTGCATTAACAAGGGGCCGAAGATTATAAAATAATATTTGTGTTCATCGTATGTGTCATGGTTCTTTATTTCCCCGGTAGGAATAGGGTTGAGGAGAAGCAGAATTATAGGGAAGAAAACAAGAGCTTTTTTGTAGCTACAGTAGAAAGATGTGAGAAAAGTTGGAGTAAGGCCCCTCCCAATACAGCTGAGCATCATTTTGATCTGAACTGTGTATGACCCCACTAAGAGGGAAAACTCCTCAACCATGTTTCGAATTTTTATGAGTCAGCATTTCTACAGATAGGGAGTGTGACTCTGCATCTAGAAAGCCAGTGCCTCCCGTGATGCTGACGCGTGCTATAGTCTGAGAGCGATGAGGCTGGTGTAGGAACAGGTGAGCCTCTGGACAGAGCTTCAGGAAGTCAAAGACCTCCTTGCTAGAATGTTCTTCCAATGAAGCATGAGCCTGCTGACAATGCCCTGAAGTGGCACACACCCTCTGCCAACTGGGCACCTGAAGACTCTTTAAGAATGCTCTAAATCTGCGGGGCGGTGGTGGCACACGCCTTTAATCCCAGCACTCGGGAGGCAGAGGCAGGCGGATCTCTGTGAGTTTGAGGCCAGGCTGGACCGATAGCCTCCAAAACAATACAGAGAAACCCTGTCTCGTAAAAACCAAAAAAAAAAAAAAAAGAATGCTCTAAATCTTACTTCCCCCATAGTGCTTTTCACAACCACCTAACAGAACACACACACACACACACACACACACACACGATTTATTCTTTTCGTACTAATAATTACAATGATGATAATAACAGCTAGAATATATTGAGTGCATTCTTGACACTAATTACTTTATGTATTAATGTATTTATTTCTCGCTACCATGCTGTGAAGAAGGCATTAAACTTGTGTCATAGTAGTACACAATCCCTAAACTCCATAGCCATTAAGTGAGCAAACCAGGATTTGAAAACACCAATTGTTCCAGAAATGATTAAAGTTAAACTTACTACATAAAATCCAATGTGACAATATTTCTTAATATTGATGAGCAAGGAAAGGTAGACAAAACCAAGGAGGTGACACTGTATTGAGAGTGGAAAAATCATCAAAATCCTAAGAAGCCCCCTTTGAAATTTCCCATAGAGGTCTTCCTTTTCATGCACATTACAATTGTTTCTTTATGAAAATTAAATAGCACATGCTCAGATGTGCAGCAAAGGTAGTTATATCAGGGACCAGCCATGGAAGTATGGAAGTATGTGTATGGGCAGGGATTGCTCTCCTGGCTGAGTGCCAGTTGATTAATTTAATTAAGAAATGAATAGTCACATGGGCCAGAAAGTGGGAAATGCATGTGACCATCCTATTCTTTCCCTGCGGGCAGACTTATTTGGGAGCCAAAGTGTAATTAGTTTCTTGGCAAGCTTCTGACAGAGGAAATCACATGACCCCAGTATAAGACTAAGTAGGGTAACTTTTCTTATCCATTCTACAGCACTTCATAGATTTCTCCTGGCCTAGGACAGTTCCTGGCACTCAGAGAATACTCAATAAATAGGTATTTTTTAATGAGGAAAAGAATCCATTTCAAAGTAGAGATGTTCTATCCAATGGACAATAATTTCTCCACTTGCCTTTCTTACTTCTTGAGTGTCAGAAGAATATTAGTGCTAATAGTGTCCAGTTATGGTAGACTGACTTATAGCCCCATGCTGCCTCTTTTGATAAAAGAAGTCATAGTATTTTTCCCACCCAGCCCTCTTTTTATTTTTTGAGAAAGGGTCTTGTTGCATAGCCCAGGCTGACTAAAATTCAAGATAGTCCTGTTTCAACTTCTTGAGTGTGTATTCTTGCTGCAGTATCAGGGCAGTCATCGAATTTGAAGTAGAACATGCATGGCTACAAATTTAACTTGAACTGCTTATAAAAGTTTGCTATAACATTGGTTACTCCATATGAGCAATGGGTCCTTCAAGCATTATAGTCTTGTTCTAAGGACAGATTGAGGTGAACAAATCCTAAGAATGGATTCTTGGACAAAGCACTTAAGTTTCTGGAGAGTGGTTCCCGGTTTCAGATATCTCTGTCTGCTTCAGGGGCAAGCCTGGAACCCATCTGAAGAAGAACACAGGAAGGGAGGCCAGGACTGCCTACATGTATTCTTTCCTCTGCTTCCCAGTCATGGGGCCAAAGTAGACAAGCCCACATGCTTTCCTTCTCTGAGGAACTTGAAAAAGACTTTCTTCTATGAATCCAAAAGTTTGTTCACAGTCCAAACCGGGGTTATTGGAGAGTATTTAGCAAGGGTTCAAGCAGAAGAAAACAGCAATGTTAAAATCCATCCAGCACTTAATACCCATGCTGCCCTCTGCTTATTTGAGAGCTGATTTAGTCCTTCTGCAGGAGTGTGTTGGTGTGGCTGTACAAGGTTCTGTCAGTTGAGGTTTATCTGACGTGAATTCAGAAAAGGGACTTTTGTACTATCTGCGTGAGCCTATTTATCTTTCCAGGCTTTTGGACTTTCCACTGCTGCTCAAGGCTGCACACCCCACCTGTTTGCTACAGGGCCCCTCTGTGTGCTAGGGAAACCAAGAGAGGGGGTTGGCAGTGAGAGCTGAAGGAGAGGGTAGGCTGTGTGCACCATGAATTGAGAGATCCTGTGGGGCCCCTCAAATGTCAGCCTTGTTCTTGTTAATGTCAATGAGGCATCTGACCCAGCCTGAGTCTTTCATACCATGTCTTGTAAGAGGGCTTTCATTTCCTGCTCTGGGATGGAGGAAGATTGAACTGTCTTTTCTTCATGACTGCACTTACCTTCGTCACAACACCATGAGGACTAGACAACCCACCAACAAAAGCTCCTGGGTTTAATTCTTGCTTGACAGTTTATGGGATTTTAGAGCATGATTTAGTCATGAATCACCTGACATAACCAATGAACTCTCCATTGATAAGTCAGTAATTTACTGGACTACTGAGAAGTGATAGAAACTTTTGAGGCAAGTCCTGATTTGAGGAAGTAGAAGCTAGGGCACGATTTTCAAGGATCTGTATCTTGTCCCTGACTTCCTCCTTTGTTTCTCTCTGTCTCTTGTCTGTGATAAGGTAAGGAGCTTTGAGACATCACATATCCTCACTGTGGTATACAACTTTATAACACAGAGGGTACAGAAGGTCAGTAGTCAGGTTTGTCATGGACTAAAGCCATCAAAGCTATGAGCAAAGTAAATATTAGTAAATATTTTCTCCTTTAAGTTCACTTCAGTGTTTAATCACAAAAACAAAAAGTGAATAATACAACTATTCATCATCAGTATCAATCAATATCCATCGTCACAGAATCACCCCCACTATGATAACTACCACCAAAATATGAGTGGTGCCACTAGAAACTCAGTCACTACCAATACCACCACCATTATCATCCTTATGCTCAGCACAAAACCCTCTCCTAAGTGAAAATGCTCCAAGCACTGTGTCTACAACATCTCATTGTTGCATTATCATGAATCTGAGAAAACAATTATTTTGTCTCTGGCAGCTGAGCCAATTTGGAATGAAACTGTTCAAATCACACAAAGGCAGTGACCATCAATAAGTAAACCCAACTCTGTCTGATTTCAAAGTCTAGTCTTCAAACTCTCCATCCTTCAAAGCTCATAACCCCTAACATTGTGATTATGAAGTATCTTACTCTTTTGACTGATGGGGGAAACCAAGGTTTGGAAAGGTAAAAAGGCACTGAGACATTGTAGGAGGAGCAGAGTGTTCCAAAGTTAGAGGCCAGAAAATGGGGTGGCGGGGAGCTCCAAGAAGAACCAAAGCCGGGTGAGGAAGAACCGTAGAAGGTCTTCCTCAACTCAGGGACAAGATCTTTCTCCTGGATTCCTTCTCTGAGAGCTTCTCCCCTTTCCTTGATTTACAGGACCTCCCAGGGTTAAGTATTAGCACAGTACCATTGTTTTCATCTTTTATTTTCCAGGCACTGTGCATTCATCTTTATCCATAATGTTTAAAGACTACTTGCCAGTTGGAAACACATGACTGACATATAATAAATGTCTGAAGGAATGAACAAGCAGTCTCATGAATAAATATATGAATGAGTCAATGGATGAATGAGAAGTCAAGACTTTGTGAAACATTTCTCCATGTATGACTTGCCCTGCGGTGTACTTAGTATCTCCATCTTTACACCAGGTAGGCTAGACCTACTAGTCATCTCTGACCGTAAGACCCAGGCAGGGTTCTCCACCTTGCTTCTTTCATTCTGGCAAGAAATAAACTCTGTATCCTTTGTCTGTATTTACTACACAGTTTTATTTTCAAACTGTGCACACTGGATGTCATGAAGAATGGAGTTAGTGTAGCTAAACGACTACATTGGCTACATTAATTGGGCAACGGCAGTGTCTCTGACTCTAAGCTCCATCTGTAAGATGATGACAGCATTTATCTCACTTGGGTATGGTGGAGACAAGGTGATGTGTAGGACATGAAAGCACAATAATAAACTGCATAATTTTATACTTAGTCCATGAATGGTCATTTTTACTTCCTTAGTTTCCATCCTTTTTCTTTTTAATCCTCCTCTCTTTCTTCCCACCATTCTTTTTCTGAAAATAATTGTAAAAGTCAAAGATGCAGGTACTTGAAGTGATTATGTACCTGTGAGGATAGAAAATGTATCTTCTACTATGTGACATTCCTGAATGTCCCAGCAATACACTGGGGACCCTCCTCAGGATGGGAGGGGGTGAAGCTTTTATAATTCTAGATATCCAGTTTGGAAAGGGCTATCTCATCCCAAGGTTGTAAGCCAGCAGTTTCCTGTCACAGAAATGTTTGCTTTGGCATACCAGTACTTTAGAAAGTTGAAGTTAATTGCAATATTGAAAGCAAACAGAGAGAGGGAGATTTCAATATTAACAAAACTCCAGATTTATTGCACACACACACACACACACACACACACACAGCCCACATGACACCATATTTCCACATTGCTGTGTTTGGCTAGAAACAAACCCAATCTGGAAATAGATTTTTTTTAAAAACAATGTCAGTGGGGGATGGAGGGAAGCTAGTGAGATGACACGGTGAGAAACTGACAACCTGAGTTCAATTTTCAGAGCCTGTGGTAAGATGGAATGAAAGAACAGACTTCACAACATTGCTTTCTGACTTTCACAAACACATGGTGACACATACATACATCACACAAATGTTGGTGATGACAACGGGGTTTTCTATACTTCCCTACAATTACTAGCATTTCGTACAACAAATCCAGTACCAAGCTACAGGCATGTCCACCTATCATTGAGTTTGTATCCTCTCTCTTTCAATTAGAGGAAGAGTCTCCAAGATGAGACCTCTGTGTCTGAATAGTTTATAGTGTGTGTGGCAAGGATTCTTGAAAAAGACAGAGAACTAAAAAATAAAATCCATAGTCCTGTTCTTCATGGAAGTAAAATGTGCTCATGAATGGAACTCAGAATACATATACTCTATGATTCCAATAACATGAAGTTTAAAAATAAGTACCACTAACTAATACTGATAGATACCCAAACCCTGGTTGCCTTGGTAATAAGAGGCATTACTTACCAGGGGTACGGATGGTCTCCTGGCTATCTGGAAAGTCTCACATTCTGATACAGTAGTTGTTTCGTGAGCACATACAAGCATAAGAACTTACCAAGTATTATGCTGATTGCAAATGATTTCATATCAAGGATAATGAGGATATTTTCACCACACCAATGAAGTTTTATCCTAGGTTGGGCGGTATATATAGGAGTATCTGGTGCATTTTTGGCTATCTTCTGGGTTTCTGAAATATTTCTAATAAACAGTTCAGATATCAAAATTAATATGTTTTTGTCTGTAAAATAACATACAAAACAATATGTGCACCTAATTTCTCCATCCATCCTACCTGCCTGGTGAACTTTGAACACCTGACCTATGCCTAGTTCTCATTTCAATAATGGGAAAACGGTAACCTAGAAAAACAATAAGATTTGTCTCAGAACATGAAACATGAAGGTGCCAAGCAAGTTTTATTAGTTATTTTCTCATGTCTTGTGACAAGATTCCTAAAAGAAGGAAACTTGTGAGACTACTTACTATAGCTCATGGTTGCATGAGATTCAAAGGACCACAACTGCTTCTGTATTTCTAACTTGGTGTTCAGGGATGGGCACTGAGAAGCCTTGACATCCTACCTCGGGATGTTTACGTCAGATATACGGCCAAATGTCAAATATTAGAGCTAGTGTGTCTCTGTGTGCAAGTGTGCACACATGTGTACAGGCCTTCTGACTAAGTACCTGCCAGCACATCTCTTGCAAGCAATCAACACATGCCTTGCTTTGTTGCTATTCTACACTCCATTGGGGCTGCAGGGGTGGCTGCAGCAATTGTGGTAGAAGTGGACCGGAAATGCTTCCATGAAATGACTCTCACACCCTTACCCTAAGGCAACGGTGGCTAATTGGGAGCTGGATCGCTTTCCTTGCCGTCTTCTACACTTTGGTGCAGGAAGCCACTTCTTCGAAGACCTAGGAGCCATCCAAAGCCTCCCTGGGCCTGGAAATGCCTGCACCAGCCGCCTTCTTCCTGCATCCCTCACCGCTCAAGGGCAAAGGAGCAGCAGAAGCCAGCCCTGCTGCCTTATTCCCGGAAGTCATCAATCCATGCCCTTCCCCCTCCCTTCTCCTACATTTTTTTCTTCTTGTCTAATGAGGCCTCCAGAGCCCGGTGGACGTCTGAACCTCATTATGACTCTCTTGGTAGTCCAGCATCAATAAAGGCAGGCAAACCAGGGAAGGGGGTGGCAGGCAAGCCGGTGGGCAGCTCAGGGCGGGGGAAAGTTTGCAGGCTTTCAAATCCCCAGGTATACTTCACAATGAATTACAACTGAACTCTTTAGTGCCAAGCTTTCAGAAGAAAAGGTAGGAATTCACCTAGCATATAGAAGAGGCCATAAGTAGGAACTGAGAGAAGCCAAGACCTTTGGTTCTGGAGTGGCAGGGAATACTCTTTCATGGGGTGACCCTCTTCTGTTTAGGAACACGTGGGAGGTAGTGTAGGGGTAAAAGGGATGGGATATGCTACCAGTTTGAAGTCCTGAGTGGCAGATCAGGTATCCTTGCTGTTTGACCTCGACCCAATCCTTAGACTATAATCCTTGGGTTGGCAACCTCCAGCCACCTGGGGGGTCTTCCATGCAAACAGTCTCTGTGGATACTGCTGCATGTGCTCAGTTAAGCCATGCATACTGGGGCACTGGGGAGAATCCCCTTACTGATTTAAGAGTGGAGAATGTAGTGGAGAATGTAGGGCATGAAGGTATACTGTGTATATACACAGAAAGACAGAAACTTGGGTGGGGATGGCAGAGGGGAGGCTGAACCTGATGAAAGAGATGGCAAAGGAGAGAGACAGAAATAGTGTTTAAGAGCAGAAGCAGGGTCAAGGGAAACCAAATTGTAACGACAAAAGTAAAGGCAGGGAAGAGAGGAGAAGAGAAAGAGGCAGACGAAGGAGGGGAGGTGGACTTTGGTACTCTGGTAGCTGAGGGATCGAGCCAAGTCCCCATGCCTAGAGTGCTGACTAAGCCCTTGAAGAAACTATTCCCTCAGCTCATTTAAGAAACAGTACACCTTGTATCAGGTTCTACCAAGCTACCCAGATTTCCATCTGCAGTCGGCAGGCAGACTGTGGCTCCCAGAATCCCAGGCAGGAAGGCTAGTGGATAGAGATCCTGCTGCAACTTGCCTGCCCACCCTCTTGTTTCCCGTTTGTGTCTCCAAGGTGAGGAGTCAGTGCTCAGATGGGTTCGTGAAAACCTCAGAACCATGCTTTCTTGGAAGATGAGAGTGGGTCCCAAATCATTTTTGGAGTGTTCAACTGGTCGAGGACACACTAGCAGTGGTACCACTCAGGGGCATCTATCATCATCTGGCCAGAAGCCAGACCCCCCTGGCGCCATGGAAAGCTCAGTGTCCAGAATAAGCATCAAGTCTGATCCCTCTTTCTGGGATACCTGATATAGCAGTATCCAGGAGTACAGAGCATTGGCCGAGGTTTAAGTCATCCTGTATGATGAGCTCCAAGTATCTGAATCCAGCATGTACTCCATAAACACTAGATGCCACTATCTCCCTGGCCTGAATATCTCATATTGGTTGCATTCTAAAGCATCGAGAAAGATGGAAGAAATTGAGGCAACATAAACTCGATTACATGGAAGGTGCTAGAGATGCCAAACAGCCCTGTCCTTATGAGTACAGTGTACACAGGCAGACACTAGGCTGAGGTCCAGCTCTATGTCTTCTACCCATGTGCAGTTCTTGCCTCAGTTTCCTCACTAGTATTCTAGGCACTTGTTGAGAAAATAAATAGAAGACTTTTAGGAAAGAAACTTATGAGGGTTAGTGAAAAAATAAAATTACAGATTGAAACAATGTTGTGAAAAAGTCCCCTATAAACTAGATGTGACTAAATGAGATACTCTACACAGAGGGATGAACTTGTGTGAAGCCAACACATAGTAAGAACTCAGCAATGGCCTATTCACTCACCTCTACTCGTGTGGGGTTCATCCAGTGGGGAATGTCACGCACCGTCACATTCACTGGCAGGATGATGGACTCGCTGTTGTGATCCAGGCACGAGGTGGAACACTCTGACCCTGAAGGGAAGCAGAAGGCAAACTAATGGCTTAGCCATATCTCCAAACACCTATGGCCATCATGCTCACAGTAGGCACTGCTTTTTTCTGTTTCCCAGTGGACTTGGGCAGTGAGAAGGAGGGAGGACTCCTTTGGCAGAGTCACCTCTGGTCTCTTTGGCTCCATTTACCCTCCTCTGACCCAGTTAGCAACTCCCGCCACAATAACTAACACAGAGCTTATCTGTGCTATGTGTTGTCTCCACCAGAAAGCCTGTCCAACCATCCCCATAAGCCAATTCCATGTTTTCAACATTCAACACCTCCTCCAGCTCCCCTCATCAATCTCATCACCATCTAACAATTTGCTGCCTAACTTGGCCCTTTAGAACTGACCCATACTTAAGACTATCTGCCTGTCTCCCTCAATTGCCCTAAATTTTCTTTTTATGGCCAAATCCTATCAGCTTTTCAAGGACCAGCTCAAATGCTGCCGATGTCTACCCTCACCTCTGGTGTTGGGTAAACACACTCTTTGTGAATGCCTACTGCATTGAGTAGCCATGCTGGACACTAATGAGTCTCACCCCAGTGTCACACCCTGTCCTGATTCCCCTCCACTCTTAGTGTTGCCGTAGGAAACACAAGGTGCTGCTGACTCGGATCTGAACATAGCTCAGTGTGTGACACTGGGGGAGAGAGATGCATGCCTGAAAACAGCCTAGTGAGAACTGAATGTATGAAGCTGCATGATCTCACTCCCCATGCTTCTTCTGCTAGGTGTTTGTGCCTGTCCTCTCTTGATTCTTTCTACTTTCCTTCTACTAGTAAACTACCAAGGATACCCAGATCTTAGCACAAATGCCACTTGCTCAAGGAAGGCCAAGCCATTCACAGGCACTCAGTGGTATTTGTCATACTGCCACCTACCATTTCCCCAGTGATTGTTTTATCAATGGCTTTCTTCCAAGTCAATTTATAACTCCATAGAGTCATCTGTGTCCTTGTTCCTGCTTCTACCTATGTTCAGAGCCTGTAGTTTTGCATAGAAGACAGTAGGCATTCAAGAAATAAAATGTGTGAACTGAGTGAAAGAAACGACGGGGAAATGATTGCATGAACTAGTGAGGAGATGAGTAAGTGCATGAATGATAAATGAAGGAATGACATAAAGACACAGTGAGGAATAGGTAGATGCTTAGTATCTTGTGAAGGAGGAAGTGAGTTATAGTGGATGAGTGAGTGAATAAATGACGAGAGAAATAGGTAAGGAGATACTAAGTGAATGAGTTATCAGTCAGTGGAGGGTGATGGTCAGCAAGGCCAGCTGGAGCACACAGGAGGCCTCAGTGAAGAGTTCTCTAAAGACATTCTGGCTAGGAGTTTGCAAGTTGGACTACAATTTGCCCCTTCCATTCTCTGCTTTGCACACACATCCTGAGGTCTCCTGAAAATTAAGCCTGCTTCACAGTACATCCCCACAACTCCAAAGCATGTTAGAATCAGACCAGGGTCAGAGAGGTCATTTTTCTGCCATGGTGTTCAAACTTTTGAATATCACTCAGTGAGGAAAGAGTGAGCCAAAGCTTTCTAGCAAGTAAACTTTACAATCAACCATTCTAAAGAACCCTTTCCAGATGTATACATGTAAACACACACATATGTAGACACACACAGAGTTTATCCAGTGCCCTTATTACCATAGTAATATCCTCTTCAGTCTAAGAGACTAACGAATTTAAGCAAGGAGCACCTGGGCTTGCACATTTAAAACAATTCTCAGAACAGTTTCATCATAAGCTAGGGATACTGATACTGAGTCTAGAAGAAATGTCCTTGTTTTTTTCCAGGTGGCTTCCTTAAGTCATTCCAGTTCCATAGCAATATGGGTTTCCTCACACCTATTTCATAGATGGGGGAGCCAAGAGACACAGAGCTGTCATACAGAAAGCCCAGGCTTAAAACACAGATTGTCTTCTCACTCTTCAGGCCCAGGGATGGGTAAGCTACAGCTGCAGAGGAGAACTAAGATAGAAAGGTGGCAATGGAGAGGTGAAGAAGCCTGTAAAGAACCACATGAGAAACAAGAAATAGAAACACAAGAAGATTTAGAAAAAAAAAGATAACACCGTATGTTATCATGAGACTGACTCTAAAGGAGTTTTGAGGGAACAAAGATGATAAAATTGCCTGGAAAAGAATGAAAGATTCTTCCTCTGGGAAACAGACGAAGACGGTCAGTCCCATGAGAGGAGGAAAAGCATGGTGGGAAGAGTAAAAACTCACTGTTCCCTGCCCTTCCTTGCTGGCTCTCCCACATGCAGGACCGGGCTGCAGCGTGGTGGTGCCCTATGAGCCACCGTTGGCATCATCACAGAGTGGTGATTTCACCAGGCCTTTGCTTCTTCCTCCCAGGAAGGGAGTGACTTCCCCTGGAGCTCCTGACAGCCACACAGGCTCCCAAGTTTGCTTGTGACAGCACCAAAAGAGGTCAGAGTGACTCCTCGTGGGTCTTCAGCCACAAAGTTGGCACTTACCTTTCCCTAACACAAGTTTTTCTATCCAAAACCCTCTCCACAGGGAAAGGGGATTCCTGGGAAGGATTCCTTCTGGGGCTGGATGACAGCCACTGGGGAGCAAGGAATGGAAGAGGGAAAAGATCCCCCTTTCTTTCTCTGTCTCCATCTGTATCCTCACGTTTCCCCTTTCTCTCTCTGCTTTCCCATAAGAGGCCCCCACCCATTGACCATCGTGGGTTACTGTACCCAGAGGAAGAGCATCCACACTACCTTGGGACATGAGTGTAAAAGAACACAGTACTGGCATCATAGGAATTTCCTTTCCTTCCTTCTTTAGCTGCATAAAAGCCCCCAATGGGTAATTAACTATTTCCACCACACACCCTTTCCTCTGTCTACAAACTGTTCTGACATAGGTGTGCAGAGACATACACACCATCAGCAATAACAGAGAAGACGAAGGTTTGGTGTTGGGATAGAGTAGCCAGTGTTGTAAACCAGAGACACTCATTGCCCCAACTGCTTAGAATGATTATGTAGTAGACCCACAAAGTCCCCAATTTCTTCATAATTCTCCTGGTCATGGTCCTTCAGTAGTTCTGTAAGATCTCGAAAGAGAGAGCAACTGTGTCCCTTGCTGCCTTTCAACACTGGTAGGAGCCAGCACCATAAACAATGTGCTGGTGCTGGCTCTAAGCTCAGATGACAGCAAACTCTGCTATCAGATTTTCTGCGTTTTCATCCTCAAAAAGAAGTGGACGCCCCCTAGGCATCGTGTCAACCACAGGCCTTGCTTCTGGGTAAGTCTCAGCTCGCCTAGCAAAGAACTTGCTGGCTTTGTACATGCTTACCCGACCTTCTGTTTCAGACAGCCCTGGCAATATTCCTATAAATCACACTGCCCCCGAGTAAGCACATTCAATTCCCTGGAGATTTCACAGCAGTCAATTAGGGAATCATTGCAAGAGGTCAGTATCATTGCCCTTAAATTAGGTCGGGTTCTATAGGCTCTAAGTTTCCCCAGAGAAAGCCACACACCTGATAATAAATACATCTGTCCCAGAGTTTGGGTTCTACCAAGCAAACCCCAGGTTGTTATTCTCAAGCTGGCAAATAACACACACACACACACACACACACACACACACACACACACACACACACACACAAACACAGAAATAGCCATTTATCCTCCAGAGGTGGAATAGGTCATACCTCAAGGCTTGGGATGACAGCCATTGCCCATTTGAGGTTTTACTCTCTCATCTGTTAAACTTTGTTAAGAGGATCATTACTGATGCCATTTTGGGGACCAGTATTTGACCAGTACCAGGTGCTCTTGGGTGATCTGCATGAGGTACATTTTACAATTCGTTTTACAATTCATAATGTAAACAATCACTGTGCATCCTGTGTGGAGGCATGCTTCCTGCTCATTGGTAACTTGGTTTCAGCTTCTTCTCCCTGGAATACCTGGCAAGGTCTAGTAAATCTGTGGGTGAGCATCACTTCCCCTGAACACGTCTGTGTCCTCCAGGTAGCTGAGAGCTTTTCTGTGCTACAGCAGTACACATCTGGCCACCATATAATGTTACCATACAGTACAATGAGGATCCTTGTCCCTGACTGAGATCCTTGGTGGGAGGGCAGATCCTCTTCCATTCATCTCTGTTTCCTTTACAGACAGACTGGTTTCACATGGATATATGCTCAGAAACACACCAGGCACTAGTCTAGGCTTCTGGATGGACATCACATGCCACTGTTTCCCGCAGCATAGCCATCTTACCTATGGCATAGCCATCAGGACACTGCAGTTTGAGGTTACTGTTGAGCTGGTTTGGGGCCAGGCACTGGCCTTGCATCTCTCGGCAGACATGGAAGGAGCCACTCCAGGTACCGTCTTTCCGGCAGTGAATGATGTTGCTCCCACGGCCCTGGACGCCAAAGAAACATACTTAGGATGTGACAGACTTCAGCTACCCAAAGGACATGCCTTTCACAATGAAAGATGAAACAATTTGCCATGTCCCCCCCAGCTTTAAAAAATGTTCCAAACGACTTGTTACCAATAGCTGACTCTCGGTCATCTTGAAGCAGGGATGTTGGTGGTATTTTCAGATGGACAAACTGAGGCCTCCGAGCAGTCTTCCCAGACTGCCTAACTCCAAGGTTTCCTAAGTCCTAGATTATGGTTTTGGGAAATTCCAATTGGAGTAATTATGGCTGAGAATTGTTTCATGATTATTGTTGTTTCTATTGAGAAGTCAGGAACCCATCAACTACTCTACTTATTTAGACAATAAGACATAGGGAGGATCCATAAAAAACGAACCAACCACACTTTCCTTCTTTTTAGACAATGAGAAAGCAACCTGTGTGAGAAGCTTCCTCTTCCAAGGAACTTCCAGCCATGATGGCCCCAAGAGGGTTCAGAGGGTATTGTATGCATCCCTATTCTGAGTTCTTTAGGGTTAGCAACAGGTTGCTCCTCAGCCTTCTACAAGGAAGTAGGAGAGTGCAAAGGAAAACTACAGGTCTTTCTCTGAGCCTCACTCAGACCAGAGCTTGAGTAGGACTCGGAGAAGGCAGAGGAGAAGGAATGGAAGTCCACTCCTGGACGGGAGAAGTTCTTGTATAAATGCAAGACAGTGCAAGAAGATGGCGGGAACAGATGTGGCTCTGGTCTGTGACCTGAGGAGAGCAAAGGAGAGCAGACCAGGAGGCGGGGATGTCAGAGGCTGGCTTCAGGAGACCGGACTCTAAAACAAGCTGATACCTATCATTCCTCAATAGATCAAGAGCTTCTGCGGGGAGGGGGGGGGCAGATACTTCCTGCCTCTTCCCTGTGTACTCAGAGCCTTGCTGTAACATAGGCAGGCCACTTCCCTTCTCTGTAGCTACTTTTGTTCGTTCAAGACTTGTTGATTTATGAAAGATGGGATGAATATATAGAAGACTTTTTTTAACCAAACAGAAAACAAATGAATGAATAGCCAGGAAAAACACAAGGCATTTGCGAGTAAACAAATGGACGAGGGAGTAAACAGTGAGCGTCTGTGAGGTGAGAGGTGAAAGGGCTGATGCGGGCTGTAGGGAGGCAGCTGCATGGAGTGGAGTCAGGCTTGGAAATCGAAACGGCCCCTCTTGAGGCCTGTCCTGGGCCAGCAGAAGGTGGGCACTGTTGTAAGACAATACCCCTGCCCGTGGGAGAATGTGACCCATCTGATCTTGAAGGTATGGGAACTTATAGGGCCTCTTTAAGTGGCTTGGTGTGGGACTGAGGCAAGCTTATGCAGCTTCTCAGGACATTAGAGAACTAGGACATTCCCCCTTGGAGCCCCAAGCTCTAAGCCCCATGGTTCTGCTGGGCCCTCGGGAGAGTAGGAAATTGACCCCAATTTCCTGGATCCTTGGCCTGAGACTATGATGCATTTGGCCTCCAGCCTCTTAAGCCCTGCAGACCTCAGCACTACAAGGGCCAGAACTGGCCAAGGAGCAAGGTTTGCAGCAGAGGATGAATTAGAGCCAACTAGAATCTACTCAGGGAGTTTCAAAGCCCTGAGGCCTCACTGTGGAAGGTGGGAACATAAGGTACCGACTGGTCTTACTTTCTTGAGACTCCCCCCCCCCCTTCTCCTCCTTTGTTCATCTGGCACTTTCTGTGGCTAAATCTGCCTTAAAAATACGGCACCCACGCACTAAGACACTTCAGCCTTCAGAACAAGGCAAGCATGTGGGCTAGCACCCCAGTGCTTCCATAGGGAATGCAGACGTTTCTAGCCCCACCTCTCAGCTCTACATGTCCCTTCATTCTACTCAAGTGATCATGCCATTCCCTGCCCTCTTCCCTGGCTTTCCCTGCCTTACACGTTGACGCTGTTCTCTCTGAATGGCAATCTCTCTGAAACTACAGCATGCTCCAGTCTCCCCTAGGGCTTCCTCTTCTCGTGCTCAGCACGTGCCGACCATCTGACAGTGAGGATATCCTTGCGGACTGCTCTGTCTAATCCGAGAACAGAAGAGCCAATGTAGCCGAGGAACCAATCTGAGAACACTACTTCTGTGGATGCTATCAGGGAACCAAACCAATTGAGTGTGTTTGATTCCAAATGCACAAGCCAAATCCCAGCACAAGACTAACGTAAAATATCCAGCAAGAGGACTGTGCGTTCTTCACGGAACTGCTTTCCTCCCTGTTCTTGTTTCTGTCTGCAGAAGCCACATGTACTCTCTTGAGACCCACTCTCTCTTTAGCCAAGAAAACCATGCAGAGCTGAAGGTGCTTGCAGCTAACTGTACTATTGAAACCTCTGTTGTGCCCAGTGTTCTAAAGAATCATTTTCACTGCTGAATGGAAGAGAAACCATATCCTGTGTGAAATCTGGAAACTGAGGCTCACTACAGGAAAGAAACAAGTGATGGTTGTTACGGTGTGTTATGGTTACAACTGCACATGTTCAAATGGCAGCTCTGTAATATCCCAGCTCTGGGGTCTGAGAGAGTTTCTTCATGTCCCTGTTCCTCAGTTTCCTCAACTGTTAAGTGTGCATGGAGTCTACTGCCTAAAGGAGTCATTATGACAAGTGGTCAATTTATGGAACTTCCTAAGACCTAACATTCAAGCACAGAGCCAGTAGTACTTACTGTCTCTAGGGAACTTGAAAATCAAGTCAACCCACAGTTTGTTTTCCAGTAATGGCAGTAGCCAGAATGAAGAGGCAATGAATAAGAGTGTCAGTAGATGCCAGGTCCCAGCCTTTGATTATGGACTTTGTTGCTTATCTAAAGTAGAAGGTAGATATACAAACAAAGGGATATCCATAAAACTGGTGGGAAAAAATCAGCCAAACCATGACAGAGGGTTCTGATAGCATCAAAGTCAGGCATAGCCAGGTGACTGAGGGCAAGACGAGCATCAGCTATGGAGGTCTGGATCTACCATATTCTACTTGTGTTACACAGAAACCCTCCACATCTGCATACATAAAGCAGAAGAGAAAGACACAGTGCGCCTATGTGAATCAGTGCGAAACAGCCGTTGTGGGGTGCTGAGCACTTCCGGTGTAAGGGTACATTGAGAAAGTGGCTTGTGCTGTGACCTGGTTGAAGACCTGGCTGTGCTAGTAACTTGTATGACTCTCCTTTCCAAATGCCAGGGAACTCATCTGTGAGCTAAGTGGGCTGCAGGGAAGGTCTCTGAGTGTCGGCCAAGCTGTATGGGCATGTGCTGCTGTGACTTTTCTAGCTTTCTCAAGGTACTCTAGGTGCTTGATGCAGTCAGCCCTGAAATACGTCACTAGACAGACCTGCCATTTCAGCACCCACAGGGTTAGTGTGCATCCATGGCACAGCCCACATGGACTGGACCAGAGCCATATTTTCATGGCTTAAAGGACTGCACAGTCACTCTCTGTCTCCCCTTTGAGAGTCTGGGAGTGTTGGGGATTCTACTATTCTCCTCCCTCTCTTGCTCCTGGTGAGTTCTGGAAACCCATTATTAGATGCACTATTCGGCACACGGAGCACATTTAGCCTGTGTCCTCTCCTGTGTCGAGTGTCTGCCATAAACCCTGGTCCTCTCCAAAGGCTGGATGCCTCTCTAATCACTTGCAACACTCCTACAGAGCTTGTCGCTATGCCCTGGGACTAAGTTATCTCTTCCCACGCCCAGTGCCTTCTAAGTCTCATTAAACCTAGAGAAGATTAGCACTTCTCACCAGCTGTCTGGAGAGCACACCCCAGCCTCTAGCGCCAGCCTACCCTGAAAGTGTCCAGGGACAGTGGACAAGCATGGCTGAAGAGTCTCAATACAACCTGTGAGCTCAGAATTACAGGCAAAGATTCAGGTAGACTCCGTAAGTCTTTTTTCTGCATCTGGAAAGTGTGGAGACAATTTCTTTTCAGGTATTTGCTTTGAGTTACCAGAATGAAAGGAAACCGAGACACCAGCCTGGAGCTCATAAAATCCTCACATTAAAAAGTAAAGTTATGGTTATGTGGGTTTTCCTTCTTGGTTTTAGTGGGACAGGAGCACTATAAATGTCAGAGCTGAAATGTCCAATATGGGAGCCTAAGTATGGCTATTTACATTTAAATATCAACCATGAAGCTGGTCTTGGTGCCTCATGCTTAAAATCCCAACACTGAGGAGGCCAAGTCAGAAGGCTTACCAGTTCAAGGCAGTTCTGTCTGGCCCACACAGTGAAACACTACATCAAAAAGTAAATAAGTAAAATAATTTGTTCGAGAACAGGTCTTATGTTTCATGTAGCCAAGGCTTGCCTCAAACTCACTGCGTAGTGAGACCTCGCCTTGAATTTATAATTTTCCTGGCTCTACCTACCACATGCAAGGATTAATGACATGCACCAACATGCACACCTCACATTTTGCAAAATTATGCAAAATTAAGCGAAGTTTAATATTTAACTACTCGGACACTATAACCAGAGAATTCAGAGACACGTAACTGGAGACAGAGCACAGATATGGTATGGTGTCACCATAACAGGAAGTTCTAGAAGGACTAGAGGATTGTTTATTCTATAGGTTTTATTTGGGGAACACTGGAGGTTTCCATTAGCTCATATGGATCCTTGCACTGGTTAAGTGCCCTTTTTTTGTGACTTTGGGTAGCTAGCCAGCAGAGGGCTATTTTTCAGTCTGTTGCCTTTCTTTCTAAGCTCTATGGACAGTCACATCCAGCATCAGCATTCACATCTCTCAGCGGCGATGACTATAAAAGAAGATCGCTCCGTTTGTACCTTCATGGGGGATGCTGCTTACTGTGGCATAGCCCCGTGCAATGCACAACTCCGGGTGTACCCGTGTCTATTTCCTGTTACCACCTACACATGTGAAGCAGGCTGTGTTATATATTTACATGTTACACACAGGGAAACCAAAGCCTGAAAGGCTAAGGAACTTGTCCATCTGTTGAGGGCTGGGGTGGTGAGGTCAGCATTTGAACACAGATCTAGCAAGCATCCCACTGGCTCCCTTGGAGGAGTCAATGAAGTGGAATTTTTTACAATTCTGCCAGTTGTAGTAGTGGAGGGAGTGTGTGACTCTCCCCTATAGCAACCCCTTCCCTTCTCTGCCAGGATCTGGAACTTGTTTGGAAAGCTAAGAATCTTTGCTCCATATAAGCTGTGGGATTCCAGAAGCGCAGGCCTTGCGTTCCTGCTGTGTTTACAGGCAGCAAGAGGGAATCTGAGGTGAACACTAGTGTTGGCTCTCAGGCCCTTGGTCTGGGGGAAGAGGAAATTCATTCTTAGTACAAACTAGAAACGTCAATTGTGTTAAGAGCCCATTTGGCACACACCCCCTCATTCTTTGACTTGACAAGCCATACCCTGCTCCTTCGAGTCTAGCCTCTCCACCCACTGCCAAGCAGCAACACGCCAGGCCTCTGATGAATTTACATTTTCCTCTCCTTTAAATACAAACTGCCCATGAAAGCAACTTGGCAGGCTTCAGGCAGACTGGGTTTCAGTTTGATAACACGGCTACGGCCAGAATATTATTTGGCTCAGGGATAACTGTTAGCAACAGTTTTATGTAAGGGAGCAAAAGAGAAGTTGATCGGGCTGTGAGGCCGCAATAATCTTGGTCCTTGCTTGTTCCAGCATCCTGCGTCTTAGGTGTTGGAGGAAAGGCATGATTCCCTGGTGTGACCACCAGTGCCCCAGAGTATCCACAGACATCCATGAATATATGATGTTCAGGGCTTGCAGGCAATACCTACTAAACTCAGCTTATTCACAGATGGGGCACCTGGTTCCTAATCTGTCACCTCCTAGGGACCTACTAGGTGCACGGCTCTGTCCTAAGTTCTGAAGGCATAAGGGCATTGAACGAGGCAGTAGAAAGCTTCACACCTTGGGTAGGACCACCATGAAATAAGTCAGAATATTATAATGGGTGGCTGCTTCTGTAAGAAGACAACGCGAGAGAGGGGCAGGAGTGGAAGGGGCTTGCACAAAGGACTGTTAGAGGGGGAATTCCTGGTCAGAAGTGGGGATACAAGGAAGAGTCACGTATCTGAAGCAAATGATGGGAATACTTAAGATAGAAACACAGAGAGGGTAGGGCACCTGGGTCTTCCTGAGTGTGGGGGTGGAGTCTGAAATGCTGCCTAATAGGGTTGGATTATGTCCCAAGGAAACAAAAAGATGCTGGCTTAGAAGGGCTTGAAGTCAGAGAATTGGAGTGATAAGAAAAGGCATGATCACGAGCACTGTGGTCCAGAAAAAAGACACAGTGGTTTTTATTAGGATAGTTGCCTTGGGTACAGCGGGAACAGCTTTGGGGGTATTTTGGGAAGAATGAGTAGGTCTGGGAATTGCTTAAATGTTGGAAAAAGAAAAAAGAGGTCCTAAGGTTATTAGTTCAGCAATGTTTGGTATTTGGAGGCTAAGAAATAATGAACAGGAAAGACTTCACTCATAGGAAGGCTATCTTCCAGGTTCACTGGCTGGTGGTCTTTGCACACCAGTGAATGGCAGGTTTAGCCCATCAACTCTGAGTGGTAGGTTCTGGGAAAATGGGGTTTCTGTGGACTTTCCTTTTACTTTTGTGACCCTCTGCCTATACGACTGAGAAGAAGAGGTTGGATATTAGTGCAGAAGGCTGTTCTTTCAGAGTCCTTTCAATAGAGGTAGGCAGGAACACTTAACCTTTAGTTACATATGGGTTAAGATGACACTCAAACCCACACTGACTCCTGTCCTCCTTTGTTCCTACTGTACTGCCAAGTGTCCTGTTGACCTTAAAGTCCCCTTTTCAAGCTTCAGGGGTCAGTCAATGACTAAGGATAGTGGCAGCCTCGTGTCTTTATATGTTTCAAAGACAATGTCAGTAGTGATGCTGGTAGGAAATGGGAAGAGCTGATCAAAGTCCCAGTCACTCCTATCAAAGTCAAATAACTAATCAATCTTCCCTGCTAAGAGGCTATATATAGTTTTCTTTAATAATTGCTCAGCAAATATCTAACCATTCTAATGCTTAAAAAATTCTCACAGCTAAGAATCTGGGTGACATAGGCTCGTGGAAAGAAAACACAGCTCAGAGAGCTGACAAAGGGCATACTGGAAGCCCTGCTTCTCTGTTTCTGCAGTGGTGATACTGCAATTTTATAAGTTTGGCTGTGTAGACAGAGTCCTGGAGACCGCAGTTGTTAAGAGGGGGGACGGAGGCCCTGACCTCAGACTTCAGTGGGCTTACCTGGGAGCTTCCGCTGTCCTCACACTTGATACGACACTCACTGTTGAACTGGAAGCCATTGGTGCATTGGTAGAGCCCATGGAATTTGGGCGGAGGCGGGTCACAAGTCACAGGCACACAAGTTCCCTCCTGCCAGCTGCCATCTTGGGTACACTGAGTCTTAAAAGCCCGTCTTCAGGAAAGATAAAAAATAGTCACTCCAAGGATCACATAGCTTGAACCCTGAACACTACCAGGGTGTCTCACACTGTCTTGCTATTCATAATCCCCTGTCTATCTGTGGGATGTGTGAGGCATGCATGATGGAGACCATTACAGAAACCACAACTGGTCACAACTCAGAGTTGTGGAGCTGAGAGCCAACTGATACATCTATGATGCAACCCCTGCACCTATGGCTAGGGACCATTGCAGGAGCAGGGGAGGAAAGGCTATAAAAGTCAGAAGAACAAGAAATTTGCTGTCCTATTTTTGTCATCTAAAAATAACAGAGAAGTAGCATAAAGTGTCATCAACATGACTGCTTAAATTTGACCTAAACAAGGATAACACCAATAGACTTGCTAACATGTAAAGGGGAAGCTTAGGAGCCCCATCCCTAGAAAAAAAAAAGAACTACAGGCAACTAAGGAATACTGAGAGAAGGAGAAATAGTCTTTCCCAGGTAAACTGATAGGTAATAGGTGGATAGATGATAGACAGATGGGTGATGGATAGTTGATAGATAAATAAATAGATACAGATATATGTGTGTATGTGTGTGCAATATTATATTGACTGAGTAAATCATATTTATATATTTAGGAATATGTATATATGTGTATACACGCATGTGTATGCTGAGAAAAGAAATCATGAATTTGAAAAGACAAGGAGGGTATATATGTGAATGTTTGGAAGGATAAAGGAAAAGGTGAAATGGTATAATTATATTATCATCTCAACAACACTAACAACAACAATAATAATAATAATAATAAAAGAGTGAAGAAAATTGCATTCACTGAACAACATTGTGGAAGATAGCAAGGCTGTCAGTCAGGTGTGATTTGGGACAAAACTAAATGCCCAACAGGGCCTTTTCTTCTCTTTTCCTTCCAGAGTGTTCTCATGGGTGCCTGTACAACAATGACGTGAATACCCACTATTTCTTTAACAAGTGCTTAGTGCAAGGAATTTTTGCAAGTCCTTCTATGTCATGACAACAGTGTGTGGTAACTTATCATCTTCATATTGCCACTGAAGAAATAGGAGGCCAGAGAAAATAAGCCACTGGCCTGAGATCATATAGCTAGTTTGCAGTGGAGCTGTGACTAAAGATAGAGGTGTGTGACCCATACACTCTTCTGTGTCTTTTGCATGGGGCCAAATGAGATACTATTGGTATGGCCTCCAGCAAAGCCAGTGTTCCCTTCCAAAGACATATCCAGTTGTGACTGTGCCGCTCCTCAGAGCCGAGTGTGTTCCCAGCACCACTTACTTCTTGGACTTCCGAGAAGAGCCAGGCACATGGTATCCAGGTTTGCACTTGTACTTGCAGAAGGAGCCCACCTTGTGCTTGCTCTCTAGACACCTGGCGGTCTGCAGGTCTGCATTGGGAACTGGCGGAGGGGCGAGGCACATGAGTTCACACAGGGCCTCTGGGAAGGACCACAGTCCGTCTTCCATACAGGTCAGAATGCTGTTGTTACCTGGAAAATACAGGCAGGCAGGGTTAGCAGAGCAATGGGTCCCCCAGAAGCTAAGATAACGAATGAGCTGCCTGATTTGTACCCAACATGAGGTCCCCAGGGATTCCCGACTGTAATTTCAAAGTCTTCCTCTAAGAACTCAGGATCACTATGGAGTGCCAGGCAGTTGCTGCAAAGCAGGCAGACATGGAAGCTAGGCTTAGCCCACGTGTATTCTGCATTATAATACAAATCATTCTGTGCTGCATAGGAAAAAGGCCTTCCTGGTACTTCCATTAGCCCCTCGTCCACGCAGGAGTGTGTCCTTGCTGGAGACACTGGGACCCAGCCCAAATGGTGTTAGCCCTACTGACCCAGGGTTGTCTCTGAGCCTAGGCCCTATATGGAAGTGACAACATGTTTTCACGAGACTCTCTCTCTCTCTCTCTCTCTCTCTCTCTCTCTGTCTCTGTCTCTCTCTCCCTCTCCCTCTATGTGTGTGTGTGTGTCTGTCTGTCTGTGCCTTTCTCTGTCTCTCTCTCGCTCTCTCTAGCTCTCTCTCTCTCTCTGTGTGTGTGTGTGTGTCTGTCTGTGCCTTTCTCTGTCTCTCTCTCTCTGTCTCTCTCCCTCTGTGTGTGTGTGTGTCTGTCTGTGCCTTTCTCTGTCTCTCTCTCTCTCTCACTCTCTCTCTCTCTCCCTCTGTGTGTGTGTGTGTGTGTCTGTCTGTGCCTTTCTCTGTCTCTCTCTCTCGCTCTCTCTCTCTCTCTCTCTCTCTCTCTCTCTCTCTCTCCCTCTGTGTGTGTGTGTGTGTCTGTCTGTGCCTTTCTCTGTCTCTCTCTCTCTCGCTCTCTCTCTCTAGCTCTCTCTGACTCTCTCTTGCTCTTTCTTCCTAGTCAGACCCCCAATGCTCAAGAAGTTCTTCCAGAGAAGCAGAGAAAGCAGCACTTTATGCCACTAGAGCCAGCTAGCTCTGACAGAGTGCTGATGGCCTACAGAATACTTGGCTGATGAGGTTTGGTACAGATGAAAGTAAAAGTCAGAAGTTAGGCTTTGCATTGCCAGCTCATATATTATGGAGGCCCAGCCTTCCCAAACTCAAGACCATTAGGGGAGGACCGCAGTGGGTGTTTCTCTACTGATTCTCCTCTGGTTGGTTACTGCAGAATGGTGTTGACAACCAGTGCTGTAAGAACAAGGGAGTCTCTGGATTGGAAGCAAGGTAAGGAGATCATGAGTGCTAGGAAGGAAGCTGACATTTATAGAGAGTTACTATGCACAGAGTGCTTTTGAAATGTTTAGCATGGTGTTCAGCATGCTACTTCCCATTGGAAAATGAGAGAGCAGCTTCATCAAGCTCTTGCAATAGCAAAAGACAAAAGGTTTAAAACCAAGTTTGTCTAACTACAGATACAGTTATTTATACAGTAAGGGGTTGTGTCTGCGTGTTCAGCAACATGCTTATGTTCTACTCAGGATGATCTAACCTTAATTTTTTGTGTCCATAGAAAACAGTGAATTTTCCTGCTTTTCCAACACTGATCCATCCTGCTGATGAAATACAGCAACACTTTTAAGAAGTGTCCATCAAAGCTCTTGTTTGCTCAGTAACCTGCACCCGTCTCTTGGCCCGCTCCGTTAACACCACACTTACACAGAAATGTCTGATAGGACCTATGTGAGATGATCAGAGACCTTCATTCACTCAGTAAACACCTGTTTAGTACTTGTGGTGTACCAGGTACTTTACATGTTGGAAGCAAAGCAATGTATAAAACAAGACAAGTACATGTATGCTACTTATAATCTAATGGTATATGAAGGAGCATGATGACTTGTCATAAATGTGAATTAGCTAGTATTCTTGCATGTGGTGGCAAGTACTATTTAATATAAAATGAGAAAAGAGGAGAAAAACAAGAGAATGCCACAATTTCATGTACACACTCTATTTCTCCTCTCACCATTAATTCCCTGTGATTCACTCCCTGGCCACTGTGATTCATCTGGATAGCATGAGAAAATACTGTTTGTAAACCCCCACCAAACATGCTAACTTGTCAGCTACCATAGCAGCACCTAGATATTTTCACATCCCAGGGGAAGAGAAAGTGGTGAGAGGATGAGTCACTGAGCTTTCATAAAGCCAAGACACTTCCAGAAGAAACACCAGGGACAGGAAACTTCTCTGCATTGTTTTGGGGATTAGGGTGGCTAGTTGTTTCAGAGTGTCAATGTGTCTGTGCTTTGGTAAGAATGGAAGCTTTAGAAGGTACTGGGAAGGTGTCCTTTCCAAATTGCTCAAGGGTCATAAAATATCCATGGCAAAAATGTTAGTTCTTTTATCAACATGTCGGGACTATACCAGCTATGAATGCTCTAAACTGTGAAGTGGGAGGCATAGTTCTTTGTTGTATGATGACATGAGGATTGCAGAATCTTAATGAAGAGAAAAGGACCAAACTGAAAATGTACATTCTAGGAAAGAGCAAACTGGAGTTATCAGTCAGAGCTAAAAGAATAAGGAACTAGAGCAGAACCGTGACTCGGGGCCATGGATATATCCTCCACCCTCACAAACAGCGCTGACAATGGAGTGCACAGGATCTGGATTTCCAGTCCTTACCTATTGCCACTACCTGCATCTACCAAGTAGCACTGAGGAGAGCAGGGCATATACACTCTGTGCCCTTGACAGTTGCCCACACACTCAGAAGGATGGCTAATACACTGTTTTTGCTTCTGCTTCATGTGCACAACAAAAACCAGGGAGTAGATGCTGCTGGAATCACCATCCAACCAATGAATGCTCATGGACTTACAGACCATCTAGAGTGCTGACCACTCACTCAGGCATCCAACCAATGAATGCTCATGGACTTACAGACCATCTAGAGTGCTGACCACTCACTCAGGCATCCAACCAATGAATGCTCATGGACTTACAGACCATCTAGAGTGTTGACCACTCACTCAGGCATCCAACCAATGAATGCTCATGGACTTACAGACCATCTAGAGTGTTGACCACTCACTCAGGCATCCAACCAATAAATGCTCATGGGCTTACAGACCATCTAGAGTGTTGACCACTCACTCAGGCATGCTATATGCTCTCATTCTAACTGCTCACAGAGAATAAGCTCATTGTTTCCACTGTTACCTGGCTTTAGAAAGGGCACTTAGTACTTGTCAATACCATATCTCCCCTCTTCATAGGGGTAGGTCCTCTGTAACTGGAGTTTCGGGTGGCTGTGAACCACTATGAGGTGTTTAGAATATTACCTGGATCATTTACAAAAGCAGGAAGTATTCTTAACTGAGGCATCTCTCTAGCCACTGCTCATCTCTTAACATTTTCTTATTGTTTCTTTTATTTTCTGAGGTTACAATATAATTACATCATTTCCCTCCCTCTTTTCTTCCCCAACACATCCCATAAATCCCTCTTTGTTCTTTTCAAATGAGTAATTTCTTTTTCCATTAATTATTGTTACATATTTATATGTATATATGTGTGATATTTTAGAGTCAGCAAAATGAGTCTTCAGATGTATTTAAGGAAACTTTTCTCTCTCGTAAGTATGAAAGGAATTGTAAACATTCAATAATGACAGAAGAGCAGTGCTCACTGTGATTACCTTACTTAAAAGATTATTCAGCAGACAAGTCTCTTTGCCAGTGCTTTCGAGGAAAAATTAGATTTTCGTATCCTAAGGCACAGTAGGGTGACTGTGGCTAGTAATGTTGGGTTGAACATTGCAAAAAAATGAGGAGATTTTGAAATTTATCACAGCAAGGAAATGATAAATGTTTAAAGTAGTAGGTAGATCAATTACCCTAATTTTATTGGGACACGATTTATATGTATATTTAAATATCACGTTGTCTCCCCCAAAATGTATGAAATCATGGTGCATTCATGAAAAAACTGAAGTATTGACATTTCCATAGAATAGAGTCATGAAGTAAAGTGTCAGACCTTCAATCTGGTTTTGCTTTGTTTTGTTTTGTACCCTGTTTTGTATCCTGTGGTCACTGATAGGTCATAAGACAAGGGCCTGCATTGTGCTTATTCTTTATTCCCAGAGACTAGCATTCTGTCCCTCAGTTTCCATTTGTTGAATGAATGAAGCATGGTGAATTTACTTGTGATTTCTGAATGAGTTGCTTAACGTCCCTGGTTCTAAGCAAAAGCTACTTCTGAGTACTTAGCAAACTTGAATGTTTTAAGATGTGAAAGGGTACTGATACCTCATACTCTGCAGAGAATAAAAATTCAGCTATCTGGACTAGCAAGCCTTCCAAAACCTGCATTAACCTAAGGCTAGGACTTTTAGGATTACAAAGATACTCACTTTCATTGTTCTTGGAACAAATAGACACTAGCAGAAGTTACAGAAGAAGTGGTGTAATGAAACGACAAATAGGAGAGAACCTATTATGCAGGAAAGAACTTTAGGCTAACTTCCCAAAAGTAACCCATGGAAATTTCATCCAGCTATGTATGGAGCTTGAGAAAGTCAGAAAAAGTTGAAATATTAGTAAAGGCATATAAAGAAACAACCAATCCTCTAACTAGCACCCTACATACAAACTAACATGTATATCGGTAGGCTGCTGGGATCCTAAGAAGTGAAATGTACATTAGACTTGGCATTCCCAGAAGGTCCCAGACTCCTCCACCCCACTGGAGCTGCTACCCATGAACCTGACCAGAGAAACCCTGCAAAGCTGCATGTGGTGAAAGACAAAGGAGCAGAGGACTCATGTCAGTGGAGTATCTTGGAATCAAGGAGAAGTTACACGATGGGATCCTACCTCCCTCAGCTTCTCCCCTCATGTTCAGATTTCATTTACCAATGTATCCCATTTTTCTTTCCACATATTAAACACAAAGGAAAAAGATCATCTCATAAAGCATTTGTTTTCAGGGATCATTGACAAAGAGTCTTGCTTCAGAAGAGAAATAAAGGGATCTGGAACACTGTTTACTTCTGTGCAAACACAGATGGAGGAAGGTAAAGGCAAAGCATTCAAAGAGTATTTCACTCGGTAAAAAAGGTGGTTACAGGTGCTGGAGAGATGGCTCGGTGGTTAAGACCACTGGCTGCTCTTCCAGAGGTCCTGAGTTCAATTCCCAGCAACCACATGATGGCTCACAACCACCTAGAATGAGATCTGGTGCCCTCTTCTGGTGAATATGCAGGCAGAACGCTGTATACATAATAAATAAATAAATCTTTTAAAAAGAATAAACATTTTTTTTAAAAAAAGGTGGTTACAGGTCACGGTGCCACCCTTCATGTTCATGTCATATTCAGTAAAACCCAAGAAATCAGAAAATGCTCCACAGAATAGAGCATTGTAATCCTGTGAGTTTAATGTATTTCATAAGAACACATGGAAATCTGAGATAGCAAAAGTTCACGAGATAGAAAGTAGACCTTGGAGATTTTGTGTTATGAGGATATGCTCCCTTCAGAAACTATGCTCCCTAATCAATAGTAAATGTACCAGTCCAACTTGGTTGGGTGATTGGGTTTTGCTAGGTAATAAAAGCAATGTACTAAATCCACTAATTCAATATTTATGATATTCATCTTAAAGCTGTCTTTCCTGAATTGGAGAGGACTTTCCTCATCATGCAATTTTATAAATTTGACCTGTTCTTACAAAGCTTACTTGAGGAACACCAACAACAACAGTAGTGAAAACCTTGACAGAAGTTATTTTAAGACATTGATCACCCATGCTCTTTTGCAGAAATCTTGGTGAGAAGCTTGGATTAAAGCAGTATTTCAGGGTTTTTGAGAAAACAAATCGTGTGAAATAGAGGAACAAGGGGGCTTGTGCCAGTGGTGTGGGATGAAGTACTTTAGGGGTGCAGTTATTGGTTGTGCTGGATGGCTGTGCTCTCCTGAAGACGATACTGTTGCCTGAGAGTTTTAAAGGATAGAATATGACTCGATAGTTTCTAGTCCGAAGGATTATACAGGACAAGGTCAGCAGTGTGGGAGAGCATCCACTGCAAGATGTTCTGGGAAAAAGCAGTCTTCAGCAAGTGCTTTCCCTACTGCAGACATCTTGTAGATGCCAGTTTAGATCTCCAATGGCTCCTTGTCAGTGAACTGATTTTTAAGTAAGGTTGTGGAAGGCCACAGGAGCAACATTGATCAGCTAAGTCAAAGAGCTCCTAAAGGGCAAAACCAGTAGAATCGGATCTTTCTTACTTTTAATTTTTATCGCATCTCACTTATTGATTATTGCTTATTTGAGTTGTATATGTGTGGCTACATGGATCTTATCATATGGAAATTATCCAATGTGCTGTCTTGCTGGATCCGACCTGGAACTTTCTGATTCTATGGCTATGGTTCCCCCCCCCCCTTGAAACATAGTTTAGAGAAGGAAAAGTAAGAAGTAGAAAGAAAGGAAACAAGTCAAATCAAATCAAATAATGGAGGAAAAGTTATTTGAACATTTCTGGGGGATGGTGAAATGAGGGAGCATCAAGAAGTTCCAAGGGAATGGGACTATCCTCTATTCCTTGCTGCCAGCAGGTCCAAGTGGGAACCTCAGAAAAAGGATCTGTGTGCAGGATGGCGCTGACAGCAAAGTGCATGGACTAGCAACTGGTCCCCATAGGCCAGTGTGCAAAGTCAAGATGTTTCCTTGAATTCTTAAGAAATGCGCAAAATAGGCGTCAACAGCTGTCAAAATGATGTTTCTCCTGAAACTGCCTTTCTATAGCAATGCCATTCTTCTTCAACCATAGTCACATAGAAAATGGCAGAAAGATTTGCTTGAGGATGTGTCACAATGAGAACCTTAAGTATCAATGCCAATGTATTTGCTTCTTTTCCCCAGGGCCTCTGATTAACAGAGGCATGATTATCTAGTCATTAACATATCCTGCATCCTACTGGCAGATAGAGACACGTGACAGGTTTGGATTGCTTAGATTCTAACAGAGGTTATCACCCTGTGGGTAGTGACCCCATTGGAGGTTGAATCACCCTTTCACAGGGGTTGCCAATGACCATGGAAAATCTCAGATACGTACATGGCAATCCATAGCAGTAGCAAAATTACAGTTATGAAGTAGCAATGAAAATAACTCTATGGTTGGGGTCATCAAAGTATGAGGACCATGTATTACAGGGTCACGGCATTAGGAAGGTTAAGAACCACTGCCCTTAGAAGCTAGAAAGTTTCCATTTTCCATTGGCTTCTTTCCTTCTTTGATCTTAAACTTCATGGTAGCTCAAATGCAAAATCTCCGCCTTTCTTGTTCAAATATTCTTTGATAGAAAAAGAGGAGGAGCTAGGGTAGATAGCCAAGATGGACTTCATGTCTTTCTTGAGGAACAGTTTACAATTACACCTGGGCCTTTTATTCCTATATTATTTCTTCATCATAACCTTCAGCCAACAGCCAATACATATTATTTAGTTTTAGTACATGTCTTTCCTGAGCTTCTGACCATAGCCATTGCCTCCAAAGGCTGCAAGTTCTTCTCATCTTTGGAAGTCAACTTTATATAATCTTTGGAAGGGGGCTCAATGTCCCCCTTGAAAACCTAGTGAGACTCATGATATTTGCCAATCATTCCAGTTCCCAAAACTCAACCATACAGAATAGTTTATCTGCTCTTTAGAGTATTCAGGGACATAGTCCCAGTGCCCCCACACACGACAGAACTCCCCATGCATACTCTGTGGCATTACAAACCAGAATATGAGACTCTGTGTTCAAGTTAGATATTGTTGTTGGTATTTAAGAATGAAGCATAATTTCTGATAGCAAACTAACTGAAGGATAGAATCCTTATATCTCTGAAATCAGAGAAAAAGTTGCTGCCACTGAGTTCTATGAAGTTCCTTCTTTTCCTCAGTATTTTCAGTTATTCTGAATGGGCTCTGAAACCTCCATTAAGATTTCTATTTCTAGAAATTCACTATGTTCCTCCAGGTCAGTTTCTCACCCATTTCTAAAATGTGACTACTTCTTCAGCCTGGCAGATTCCCCCTTTTTTCCCTCCATACTCCTATTGCTTGGTCTAGGAGATTCTTAGGGCTTCCTAGCCACACCTGCTGTTCTCCACTCCCAGCCTCTCTCTGTAAAGAATAGAATTGCCTTTGGGCAAAGACAGACCTGGGATACAACATGGTCTCCATCATTAATGTAGCAACCTTGGGCTATTTCTTTAAACCCTAAAGAAATAGTTGGTTTCTTCCTTTGGATAATTCAAAGACTAGTAACAACATCTCATAAGGTTTGCTGATTATTATCCATACACAATAAGCTAGATAAATCAGTTCTAAATATAATTCTAGGGGTTGCCGTGCCTCGCCCTGCCATCTTTTTGAAAGATTTACAAAATCTTGAAGGGATATTCACTTTAATTTTTATACATATAAATTTTTATATTTTTTTTAAATTTCTGGTTGCACAGCAAGACAGTTTACATGACTACAAATGGTAAAAAGAAGCCAGAAAGAAACACAACTCTGTCTACCTCCTGGTGTCTGAGACTCAGAAGAAGGCTTGGAAACAGCCACTAGGTTTCTCAGAGATGACAGAGGCCACACGTGGACAAACAGCTCAGAATACCTTTCAGCTGGGCAGGGTGGCGACACTGAAAGGAACATCTTCTACCAAAGGTGGTGCCCTCTGGACAGGAGAAGGAGGCAGCGTAGACATGATGGTGATCTGGGACACCGCAGTCCACTGGCTCACATGCCACCTGTTTGTTCCACTTGCCCTCTGTGCATGTCACTGTGATACTTGGTCCCACCTGTAAAGCAGAGAGAGATACCATGAGGACAGCAGGCAGACCCTTGTATATGAGGGCACACACTTCTCCACAGGTGACAGGTCAGAGTCTTGTCCACGAACAAGACTCTAAGCATTAAACTTGAACTCGTTTTTAATAACTCAACAACTGCATGGGTTAGAAATTTCAGTTCTCATTTAATGATGCAGAAATGGAAACTTAGAAACATTATATGGGCAGCCACAGGTTAGCTAAGTGACTTCACCCTAAATAATGTGCTGAGAACTGCAACCAATAATGTCTTCCAGATAGATTATCATATCCATTTTTTTCTGAGATTCTTGAGATTCAGGATGTGATTTCTGTTACAGAAGAGACTCCAGCACATGTTAAGTAGAACACATTAGAGGTTGATCTCAATATCTTTTCTTGAAGGGATTCACTTAGAGATAGCTAAGGTACTTGGTACTAAGTTAGGGAGTGCCTTTGAGTATAGGAGACCTAATGGTCTCTCTCTTTCTTGAGCTCTCCCACTGGTAAAATGAATGGATTATATGCTATTAGCTATTTTGAGATTTAATGGCCCCAGTGAAAAAGATTTTTGAATAATCAAGAAAAACTATATTGAAAAACAAATTTGGGAACACTGAAAGGACTGGCTGATTTAAACCAAACTAGAAAATGGTGGGGGTGTGTAGGTGGAAGGGTGAGGCCATGCTATAGAGCCAAGAGAAGTCTGTCATTGGCAACCCAGAGTCTTCCATTGAAGGAGGAAGCAGCCAAACCCCTGGGGGTTGAGAGTGCCAAATGTTGATTTGGGATTTGTAAAAGCAAAGGACATTTTCCTCTCCTAAGTACACATCAAAGGGAAAGGGAGCAGAGGTCTCTCACTGCCAAGGCAGCCTAATTGTTTCCATAGGAGTTCAGACCTGCCATGTCTGACACACGGAAGTACGTGTCTAAGACAAGCCAGCTCAGAAGCTCTGCACAATAGGCGTTCCCAGCAATAATGAACGTGTCTCTGTATGCTAGCAGCAAGAGGATACAGTCTACCAGCGAGCCTGTGGAAAAGCTGCATCTAAACTGCTCTGGGATCCTCAAAGTTTGGGGCTGCCAACTTGTCCCCACCTATAGGAACTGATATTCGAAAAGCAACCAGAGACTAAGGCAAGGTTTGCCATGCCACAGCTCTCTACTCCCTACCAATAACTTCATACAGGATACAGTCTAACCGCCAAGGGCTAACTGACAGCCCCCTGGGTTTGTCTGCTGTCTGTCTCAAAGCTTACATCCATGCCACACTCATGTGGGCAGCCAAATGAGGCCTTTGTTATCAGGATTTAATCACATCACGCCCATTCTTGCTGCTATAACAATCCCAAACTACCCAGCTAAGCTGATAGGGCATGGCATCTGTGGACTCAAGTTGACCCTCTAGTCTCATGACTTGAGCAATTTTAGTAAAATAAATACTAGTTTCCACATACTGCACACTTACAGTACTAACAGACTTTCACATATATTCCCCTGCCTATACAAGAGCACACTTTTTATATTTGTTTCCTGCGGACACATCTCTGCCCGTCAAACCATGTCTAATTTCTCATCCCATTTCTTCTGGGGCACTTCCCCTAAGACTCTTCATATTTTCACATGCCTTATATGTCCTTCTCTGTCTCAATGCTGCCTGCTAAGAAGAGGCACTAAGAGGCACTTCAGTCTTAAGGACTTTGTTTTCTCCAGTACCTAGCACAGTTTTTGGTTTATGGTGGACTAATGCTTTGCAATGAATGAGTGAGTGAATGAATGAAAATACGTTCAGACTGAGAGCACCTATCTACCTAAAACATCTCACTCCGCTATACAGAATGTTGAGGGTCAGCATCTTATCTGAATATATTCATCCTAGATACTAGATCTGTAACCTATTCAACAACATTGATACATGATGCTTACAATACTTCTTAGACAGAAACCCTCTTCTTAGAGAGTCCCAGCTGACCTTTTTGTGTTGTTTTCGCTAGCTACATCATTGATTCCTTAATTGAGGTAAATCTATATACATGCATGCTAATATATGCATACTTATATAAATGCATGTATATACACATACATGTATATATATGAAAAAGAGCTAGAGAGAGAGGGAGAGGGGGAAAGAGAGGGGAGGAGGAAGAGAGGGAGCAAGGGGAGAGAGCATTTCCTATTCCTTTGTCTTCTGTGGCCGCAGTATTTTCAGTGCTGCCGATTCTGCAAAGAGCCCATGCACACCCACCAGCCTTCCCTGGCAGGAAAGGGCTCTCCGGTCTGCCTTCACAAACCTGGCTCTTGATCAGCTCGTCATCCCGCTGTATCTGCAGCACATAACCCGTCTTGCAGCTCACTGTGCACTGGGCACCATGGTAGCGGTGGCTGCTGGAGCAGTTGAGAGAAGCGTTCTCCACAGTCAGTTCTGGGCAGTCCGTGGCTTCACAGGCAAAATGCACACAGCTGAAGAGGAGGAAGAAATAAGAAGGTGAAGAGGGAGTAAAGACAACTTTACTCCAGCTAGAAGGTTAACGCTAAGCCTCTCCCCAAAGTTTTGGGGGGCAGACACTGAGGAGAAGGAAGGGCACTAAATCAAGCAATGAAGAGCCTGCAGGACCCTGCTATAGCTTACTAAGAATACAAGACATGGGGGCTGACAATCCTGGATGTACATCCTGTCACTTGAACACTTCTGTGAGTACTAACTTCTAAGAGCTGTAGGGAGGATTCGATCAGTTAACTTATGAAATGCAAGTAGCCGAATTCCCAGCACATTCGAGGCCTCAGCAATCAGCAGCTAATATTATAAAGGCACCTACTCTATTTACTAATAGAAATTGTGTGATTTGGACAAATGTGCTATTTATGGAAGGAAGCCTTAGTGTGCCTTCCGATTCACCGCACCTCACAGAGCGATGAGACACTGGCGGTGGCACGGGCTGTCTTTCAGAACTGGAATGTAACTCACAAATCCCTGCTTTATGTCTTTCCTTGGCTGCTATTTTCACTTTCTGGACAATCTCAATCCTGCCCATTCTCAAGTCAGAGTTAATTCTATAGGAAGCATTCCCTTGTGTCCATAGAGGAGCTCCCTCACAGACGCTCTGCCTTCTTGTCTCTCATACGGCTGTCTTGTGCCCGGAACATTTCAAGTCCAGGATGAAGGTGTCTATCTGTCGCCTAACTGCATGCAAATCTTTAAAGATACTAGTAGAAATTATATAAAACCCCTGTGCTAAGATGACCTTTCCCATTGGGCTATCGGTATGCCGATGCTCAGGAATATTAGTAATTAATCACTGGCAGTATATCTAAGTGGGCTCACTTCATCATCACAATAGCCCTAAGAGCTAAGTGTTATTCACTTTACAGATTGAAGCCTGGCAAGAATAAGTTACCCATTGAAATTTCCACCCCTCTGTGAGATGTGAAGATCTTCATGGCTGATTTTACCCTATGGGTGTGGACTAGAACACTGTTTTGGATGGAGACAATGCCTGTTTTATCCTGGAATTAGGAATGAAAATGGCTTGCACCCAGATGTTGTCTACATGGAGAGAAACAACTGGTGGTAGCACCTTTCCATGGTTTGTAAAACTTTCACAGTTCTCTCCTGAGTAAATTGGAAGAGGGGAGGGGGACCGGAGGGGAGAAGGTGAGGGGGAGGAGAACATGAGGAATTTGAAAGGTTGAGTTGGGGGAAGGACAGAGAGGGAGAGCAAGGAAAGAGATACCTTGATAGAGGGAGACATTAAGGCGTTAACAAGAAACATGGCACTAGGAAAATACCTAGGAATCCACAAGGAGGACTCCAACTAAGAATCTAAGCAATAGTGGAGAGACTGCTTTAAATGCCCTTCCCCTATAATGAGATTGATGACTACCTTAATTGCCATCCTAGAGCCTTCATCCAGTAACTGATGGAGACAGATGCCGAGATCCACAGCTAAGACCTGAACCAAACTCCTGGGATCTGGTTGTAGAAGGAGGAGCGATAATATAGGAAAGGGGTCAAGATCATGGTGGGGAAACCCACAGAAGCAGCTGACCTGAGCAAACGGGAGCTCACTGACTCTAAACTGACAGCTGGGGAACCTGCATAGGACCAAACTAGGCCCCTGAATGTGGGTGACAGTGGGGGGATTGGGCTGTTTATGAAGCCATTGTGATGGGAGCCAGTATTTGCCCCTGGTGTGGTAACTGGCTTTTTGGAACCCATTTCCTATGGAGAGATACCTGGCCCAGCCTAGACACATGGAAGAGGGCCTTAGTCCTACCCCAAATGACAGGTCAGACTTTGATGACTCCCGATGGGAGGCCTCATCCTCTCTGAGGAGTGGATGCAGGTTGTATGGGGAGATGATTTGAGGGAGTGGGAGGGTAGGAGGGAGAGGGAACTGGAATTGGTCTGTAAAATAATAGTGCTTTAAAAGTAAAAATTTAAAAAAATTCACAGTATATTTTTGTCAGCAATATTTTTTTTTGTCAGCAAAACCTACTGGGCAAAAGCTTTCTCTATGTCCCCCCTAAAGCCTACAGTGTGTTCAGTTGGATAGATTTTCATCCAGAACCCAAAGCCTTGGGTTTTCTTGTTTTTTGGATTTTTGGTGGGGGAGGGGATGGTGGCATACAAAACAGGGTCCCCCTCTGTAGCTCTGACTGTCCTTGATCTCACTATATAGACCAGGCTGGCCTCAAACTCGCAGAGATCCACCTCCTGCTGCTGGGATTAAAGGCATGTGCTGCTATGCCTAGCATTTGTCTTCCTGTTTTTAATCTAAGGAAAATGAAATGTTTGGGCTGAAGCAGTTTCAGAAGAACAATCCAAACCTTCATGGTTTCAGTTTTGAAATCCTCAGCAGCATTTTGCTTCTGGCGGGGGGGGCGTGTAGGTGACCTGGAGACTTATCCTCTCAACTACTCAAATTATACAAAGATCAATAGAGTAGCGGATTTTGAGGAGTTAACCCCTAAAGGGTCTCAACCAACAGGTTGAGAACTACTATTCCAAAACTTCTCAAGGAATCCAATTTTCTGATGTACTTTGATGATGTCCAGAATGGCCAAAAGGGGAGGTCATTTTCCAAATGCTAATCTCCTTTTTATTATGGAGCAAGTCTTAGGATCAGTGTCTTCTAAGAATGCAGGTTGGAAGTAAAGATCCTTTTCTCTTTTTTTCTCAGCACATCTGTCTGCACCTGGCTTGTAGATTTGCAAATAGCCACTGAATTTCACTATAACACCTTCTCAGCAATTCCAAAGGGACTCCTCCAGGTAATGACATTATTCCCATTTGAGAATGGGGATTTGAAAATGGTTGCCCAAAGGCACTTCAGCCTGGACAGAATTCCACTGGACATCAGCCTCTATGCTCCCTAAACCCTTGTTCTTTCCAATGCTACCCCAGTGTCTACTAAAGTTATATGCACACACTGCCCAAGAATGATAACTGAACCTCCCACATATTCCCGTTCTCCATGCAACTGTCATTCATTTCTGAAATACAAAACCAAAGAAAACAAAACAAAAGGCTCTGATCCAAGGGAGGGAGATGGGGAAACAGAACCCAGTACTAGTGATGGACAGTGAATAAAAAAGGGAAGGATACGGCTGGTTGAACGGCTGAAAAAGAGGAAATGTACCAAGTTCTCATACTGAGGCAAAGGTGAGATTTTTCTTTTCTTGTTGTACATGTGCCCACATGCCTGTGTCTCTTTTCTCACACCTTCAAGAGCTTCATGAAGGCAAAACCGTTTGTGACCCTATACCAATCCTTTAGCTTCCCCTCACCCCCGTTGATATCTGAAATGAGCATCCCACACCTAATGACTGGCCCCTGGGCAACTCCACCAGCCAGGAGAAAGCCAGTCTTAAAGGGCTGGAAAAGACTTCCCTTCTGGCTCTGCCCTTTAACTCCTGCCTTAACTCCTGTGGCCTACTGCTTAACTGCAATTATGCCAAAAATGGCAGTCCCAACAACAACAAATGGCCACAACCATCAAAGGTGAATAATGAAAGGAAAACCTGGGCACCAGCTCTTCAGGTCATTTGGAAGAGAGACAGAGAAAAGCTAGCCTGATAGAACCCTATTTTGCTGCCCAGAAATGAGGTAAAAAAAAAAAAAGTGATAGTAAACCATTTTTATACAACACTTGATGGTGGTAGGGTATGGAGATCAGATTTTAAGGAGTGAGAGGTAGAACGCAGTGGCCCACAGTGAAGAGACAAACTCCTGAAAGTCGAGGTGAGCTGGTGGGCTCCCTCTGGACGGTGTCTGGCTATGGAAGCAGTAATTCTTTTCTTTACTCTCAGATTACCTAGGAGACAAAGGCCTGTGACTTTCAGTCCTTCTGATTTATTGAAATAGTTCCACATGTCCCTGAGTCACTTCAATCTGAGCTTCACATGTTATGTGTGAGTTTCTGCAGAGTTACTTCATGGAGTATTCCACACTTGGAGTCCTGGAAGTGTAGACTCCAGTAGCAATTGCCTCCAGTCTGAATCCTCTTCTTCCCAACTGAAAAAAGTTCCTCCAAACCACAAGAAGAACTTGACTCTAGCAAACAGAATTCTAAAAGATAGATGTCAGCATCGCCTCTATCGAAATGCTAGCATGTAGAAAGGGGGAAAGTTTGAGGTAAAGAAAGAGAATTGGAAAATAAAAGAGATGAGAAGACTGTAGGAGGGAGGGGCAGGAAAGACAGAAGAAGGAGAAAAGGGAGAGTGAATTTAACTTTGTGGTTTAAATAGTTAGCCTACTGAAATTTATAATAAGTTGTTTGATTTTGATTAAGAACAACAGATTTTATGGATGGGTGAATGGCTGTCTGGTTGGTGCACAGATGGATGGATGGATGGATGGATGGATGGATGGATGGATGAATAGGCATACGAGGAGAGAGGAAAAGGAAGAGGCGGACTATAAGAGACAGCAGACACCGGAGCCTCTTGTCATGTCTGAACTCTTTCTCCTTTAACCTCTCACTACCCTCTCCCCACCCCCCCCACCCCCGTGATCGCCCACCTGTGCCTCATTCTCCAGATAGGTAGGAAGTTGAGAGTGACTGGATTCCACAACTGAGTATCTTACTTGAAATCTGCTCCCTTTCCCAGTACTGCCCAGGTGCTAGGACCTCAAATCTAGGTCAGAGCACACCATCTACACTGATTTTGCTGTTAGCAGTGCTTTTCCCAAAACAGCTTGCTGGATCTCACGGAACTCTCTGGAGAAAAAACTGGAAAGGAAAAGAGCAAGAGGTGGACAGAGGAGAGAAAAGTGTCTGGATGGGAGGGGAAAGTGACTTTTAGGGCCAGAAAAACAGCCGAGAGTAAAGTGGAAAGGTCCAACTGCAGCCATCGGAAGTCTCTGCTGTGCACAGCAAATGGCATCGACCTCTCTGATTTGCCGATTTTAAGAATGGAGAACCCCATCCCAGGCCTTTGTACACAGTGTTGCTTATTTTTCTTTTTCTTGCCTTCTGGCTTGTTTTACTACATTTGCATGATTGCAGATTCCTGCCTGTTTTTGTCAATGCCTCTGCAGCTCCCCAGGAACAGCTGCTGTCCTTTCCCCACTGGGGCATTCAGAAGGATCCTGCAGCTTTGTAGCTTCAGCCCTCTGCGCGGCCTGGTCCAAGTGCAGAGCCCAGCCAGCCAAAGCCTTCATGGCTGCTTCTGCATCCTTTTACCCAGAGGATGCTCACAGAGGCCAAGTCCTGAAGCCGCCACTTTTCCCCTTCACATTTCCCCTTTCAAGGCCAAACTGCAGGGTTCCCCAATCTCTGCCTTCTTGTCCTAGATTCCCCAGCTATTTCTCTGAGGTCATCCCCAAACAGGTGTGAGAATCAAGTAAGATAACACTACAGAAGCTTGTCCCTTCCTGTCCCTTCTTACCTTGCCTAGCTTTTGGAATCCCAGGCTGTGAAACCTGGAATGATCCCCAGATAAATGCTACTCATTAGCATCTCTTAAAGAGAAACAGAGGCTCAGAGAAGGGGAGTGACTACAGTCTACAGCCACAAGAACTACACAGGATAATGTTTTGTCCTAAATCTCTGTTCCTCTACCACTGAAGAATTGTACAATCATATATCGATTGATTCGCTTCAGAGCATAAACACTGTTTCCTTAGTGCACAGACATCATTAATTAAGAGCTCTGAGAAGTCAGTACTGGCTTTGGTCAGTTTGTGGATGGTACAGATAACTGGCTGAGGACAGGAACTCATTGTGGAAAAGATCTGATGTGTTTGCATTTTCCAACGACATTGTTTCCCTGGGTTCAGAGAATTAACTTATTTTTATAGCGCCTGGAGAACTGAGGATAAAGCAGCGCTGTTAGAATGAAATATGACAATGAGGGATATTTAAGGAGCTCTTCCATCGCCATGATTGCGAAACACTTTGCACAACAGAAGCTGGGGACTGTGGGTGCAAAACAATGTGGATTTTGCAACCACCTTTTTTGTCCTCTGTGGGAGCAGGGGCGTGGGAAAGGCTAATGTCCGCCTCCCATTACCATTCCTCTTCCCTCTCCCTGCCCCCAGGTGTACAGGGCAGGACTGAACGGCCACATAGAGAGAGGGCTTCACTCTGCAGAGCCCACCAACATACCAGTTCTCCCCCTGGAGTTTATTAAATGAGTTTGAGATACAGTTAGCAATGCTGGACCATTTCCCTTTTCAAGGCCCCAGAATCCTAGATGGTAACACTAAGTTTGGATCTGTTGATTGCCTTAGATTGTTTCTGAGGTTTCTTCTGCTTCTGGTTTTCAAGAGCAATACACAGATCTCTCTGCACAGAGGCACCACCACCATCATAGTTGGAAAGTGACAGTTAGAGTCCTCAGTGATACATTTTGCACAATGAACAGCTTGCAAGATCATCTTCATCTACTGTATAACAGTCACCCCCTCACAACCACGCTGATGGGTAGATATCACTATCTCCTTGTGCCTAAATCAGAAACTGAGACTCAGAAGAGGGAAGTGACACATGTAAGGACATTCATCACAGAAGCAGTAGTAAGAGGAGTTTTACCCCCACGTTAAGAGTTTCCCCCAAACTCATCCTTTCAAAGAAATGCTGTCCTTCCACAGCAAGAACTGATTGGCAGGCCTTAAGAGATCAAAGGCACACGCTCCTCCAGTACTGGGGGATCTCAGGGGCTGAGTCTGCAGAAGGGAATGGGGGTGTCACTCATTATTAGAATTCACGGTGCTTTGGAACGAAGCACACAGTAGTCACACCATCCTCAATAGGGGAGGATTATGTCACCTGCCCTGTCTCCGCCATCAAAGTACAATATTGAAAATCAAGAGATGATCTAACTGACCTGTCTTTGCATGGAGATATTGCAGTCTAGTGAAGAAAACTGGTATTTCTAAGTCACCTTGTAACCTGTTGCCAACTCAGCAGCTGCAGACCAGCTCCTTTCCACAAGAGACCTCATATTCTGCTTTCTATTGCACCCCGAAATTCAGGGACTTCTGAGCCTCTCAGCCTTGAAGGCCAAGCAGACCAGAGGTCAGGGAAGTGAGAATGCTGAGAAACACAGATTTTAACAACAGCAGCAGTGGCTGTTCAGACTGTCTCCACTTACTACATATGATGAGGGTAGGGAGGCTCTGGTCGCCTTACCTCTGCTCAGCAGGGCTGTAGGTCTCTCCTCTCTGGCAGCTGCTCAGGGTGACGGGGTCAAAGTTGTCGAAGGAGCGGAGGGCCACCCCCGAGATGGCGACCAGGGGAGAACTGAAGCTCACACGTACTGCTTGGCTGTGGTAGAAGGGTTGGCTGAGGTCATGGACCACAGGGATAATCAGGGGATTGTTCCTGCAGCTCAAGACATGGAGGCCTGTCAGGGGAGACAGAGGGCCGAGGGGCCAGGCTCATTACTCAAGGCCAGTCACGCCCTCCCCAATGGGCCCTTCCCGAAGCCCCCAGACCCTTTCATGTCACGCCACAAAAGCACCATTGGGCGGCCAGTGAGGATTTTGAGTTTGATTGAAAGTTTCTTTGTCTGCCTTTTTTCTTGCTTCCAAATCTTTCCAATCCCTCTGCCTCCCTGGCCCCTAAGCTTTCCTTCACCTAATGCCCACAGTCTCTTTCCCTCCCCGAAAACGGCCACCCTCAGCCAAGCATCCATGGCTCTCCCTCCCTCCCACATTGCTTCAGGACTTGAAAGTTTGAGCCTTCCATGTTCATGCTGCCTGCCTGGGATGTCATAAAGGTGGGAGAAATAATATTTGAACAGCAAGCCCTTCGCAGAGTAAAAAGCTCACTGCCGTGGCTCATCTGTAGGACTGTGAGGATCCTGGCTAATAAGGACCTCAGCCTAGTCTATAAAGATGGAAACTGCAATGCACAGACAAGGACAAAACAGTTGTAGCACCAAGAACAAGTAGGATCCAAATTTGTCTTAGACCAATCCTTCATGTTTCGTTGACCCTTTCCCCAGGTTTAGGAAAACACAGAGATAAAAGACAAATGGATTGCACAGAGTAAGGAGTAGACTGGGCAGCTGGAATGGAGTTGCTAGGACAGAAGTAGGCTTCGGTGTTCAGCTGCTTGCTGCAGGTGGAATTCTACCAAGTTCTTAAACCTTTATTTCTACACATAAAAGTGGTGCGATCTTGGCCATGTGCTGGCACATGGGAAAGGTCTCCTTGTGGGAGGAGGAAGTCCTGAGGCCATCAGGTGTCCTTTCTCCGTTTTTATGCTCTCACTAAGTGCTATTAATCCTCTGCTTAGTATTTAGGAGACAGAGAACAGGACGATCTGGTGGGGAGACATCGAAGCCTCAGATAACAGCAATGGGATCCAAGGAGCTTCTGGAGAGCTTGACATTTCCCCTCTCTGCTCCTCACCCTTTGCAGTGCCAGGATAACTATGAAAATATTTGCTTCCAACTTCAGGAAGTTTCCCAGGAATCCAGAGAACTCCTGAGGGATTTTCTTTCTCTTTCTTCTTAGTATGTTTCTCTTTTGCCTTTAGCACTACTAAATAAATAAACACGTAAACACAACAACAACAAAGATCTCTTTGCTTCTTTAGCTTTCATTTGACCCTAAAGTGAGCCTTTGTCTGCGTTCTTAAGAGTTTCGAAATGGGATCTCCTACAAAACGATGTGCACACAGCTTCGAAGTACCAGCTCCAGGGCTACTCCGGAATGCCAAACACTTGCAATGGATGACCTAAAAATCAAGAGTATGTAACAATGTTCTCAGTGAGAATAGGAAGTGACTAGTGCCACTATGACACTGGAGGTGGTCACAGTAGTGACAAGAAATATCCACTCTAACCATATGGCACATCTATCAATGCAATCCAAGAATACTGGGCTTTGAGTGGGATGTTGTGATGTCAATAAAATGGTTCACATTTTCAAACTGAGTTAAGAGTAAATATGGGGCTCAAACTGTGAGGTCAGCTCTGTACTCCTATCAGGACACTAATGAGTGTGCTCAGGTGATCCAGTTTTGGGAGTGTAAATGTTCTTGAGCTCCCAGATAGCACTAGGGGAGCCAGGATTATTTAAACACACAGTGTTATATTTTCAAAGAAAAAGATTCACAACCTTTTTTTCCACCTGGAAAGGGTGGAATGAAGGTAGCTAATGGACTAGGTAATCCCTGTGCTATCTGTAGTGCTCCCCCAGGCTCCCACAAGCAGGACCAGAGGTGACTAATAATCTAAATGACCTCTGTGCTATCTGTATGACTGAAACCACACCAGATCCTCCCCTTGGCTTGCAAGATGTAGCCTATCTCTAGATCCCATCTTCATGGAAGAAGTAATATTTACTTTGAGAAGAAGTTCAATGCCTCTTCTTGCACTGGTGATTTTGTTACACCAGGAAACGTTTTTTCCCCCCAAATTGTAATGTACTTAAATATCCCTACAATGAACTGCCTGGTGTCAGACATTGGAAATTTGAACAAACATTGGGTTTCCTTCTTGCATGCATGAATCATTTCTCTGCCAGCCCTGGTGTTTGTAGAGACCCCCACAGCTCGAGTTAGCACTCATATCCTCCAATTGCTTCTCCAGTCCTCAACCAGATAAAGCTCTCTAATATCTATCTGTTCCCACATGGATGTCCCCTGGAAAATGTGCCAAATACACAACCACTCTTGATATTTTCTGAACCATCTGGCAGAGAGGGTTATACTAAAACCTGGCTTTGCACAGTGCTGTTATTGAGCGTTGTGTGATCTCCCAGTGCAATAGGTCTCAGATGTTGACATAGTTGGGGGGAAATGACCTTCCCAGAGTTCTTTGAGGATTCCTAGGTTTAAAGGTATGTAACAAAAGGAGCTGATGAAGGTCGACTTTTTGCCACTGAAACTGTTTCCTCGTATTTGCCAAATTTGGGTTTCTCTGGATACACTACCACATGTTGATTAAGGCAACCAGGACTCCAAGTAGAGAAGAGGCAAGAGAAAGAAAAGGGGAAGGATGAGATCCTTTGTAAAAGGGGGAAGGCAACCATCCACACATGGAAATGGGTACCAAGGGTGGACCAAGCACAGAAGAACATCCTTGCCTAGATCATGGCTTTGCTCTTTGGTATCAAGTAGCTGCACACTGATGGTCTCTTGCTTTTGGTCCCCATAGTATGTCCCATCAGTCACCAGGTGGATAATAACAGCTGCAGCAACCATTGGCTGAGAGAAATATGTCTGAAATAGAGAACACATAGGAGAGTCATTCATTTACTCAGCCACATAGTAGGGAAGCAATCACGCTAAAGTGGACCAGAGGGGAATCTTGCTCTATTTCAGTCTGCTCCCTCAATTGGGAAGGAATAAGAAGCATCGCTTCTGACTTGGCTCTGCTCCTGCCTTTTTGTCTGATGGTTCTGGATGTCTGGAACATTCTGAACCGAAGTTCCTTCATGTCCAAATAGCTGATTAAAGACCATAGCTCACAGGGTCACTGTGAAGTTCGAATAAGACAAAGGGAATATAGTGTCTAGCACAGGGATAGTACATAGTGAAACTACACATGCACACAAAATGCATTGTAGGTTTATTACCCATCACTTGGCCACATTGTCCTCTCTAGTAGGTTCCAACATGATAAAGCCAAATAAGGCATGATCCAAGAACTTCTGTGAACCATGGAGCTTACAGCATGTCAGTGACACATAAATAAAAATGGATGCAATCCACAGTCTGTAGACAAGAAGACGAAGCCACACATAGATATGAAACGCCACATGAAGGCTGCCGTCCAGCGGGTGACCAAGCATATACAGTTACAAAGAAGCAAGTGTTCACTTCTTTCTGTGGATCAGTATAGGCTCCATGGAGGACGAGATTATTTTGTAAGCTTTGAATGATAAATAATAAGCAGATTTCAAATTCTTTGCAATATAAGCATTGGATAGGGGGTTGCATGAGCAATTGCGGCATTTGGTTTTAGGAAGCATCCCGTGAGTAGGTTTGTTTCCTCTCCTTGCAATGGAAAGTCTTGGAGGGTGGAAAGAGCATCTCAAGTAAAAGTGGTCACTACTTCCTTGAGGCCAGACCTACACATCATGGCTCTCAAGATAGGGGCTTACCTGGAGCCAGAATGTGGTCTGAGGCAGTTGGTAGTATGGGTAATTAATGGTACAAGGGTACCAAGCATGCTGGGAAATGCCTTCACTGAGATCTATCACCTTGGTTCGACACACCTGGCAAAAGATGGAGGAAAAGATAATATTTCAAGAGTCCTGAGAACTCCATTAAAGTTAATGAACCTTCTTCACCATCCCTCTGCATGGTTGGTAATGGAAGACAAAATAGGGCTGAGTAGACTAAATCTATTCCAGGAACACAGTCTACTATTGAAGGAGTTCCCAATGCTGGAAAGGATAGGATAGAAGACATATTTTGGTGGCAAAGTGACAGGGACATTCTCATGAGAACAAATCCCGAGGAGTTCACATTGAATCTGGCTGGGTCTAGAAGGCAATGCGGGCAGAAGAAATAGAAGGAAAGACTCAGAAGAAAACGGACAGAATTCCTAGGTCATTATATACTACCTAGCAATCAGAAAGCTCAAGGAAAGCTGCAAAAAGAAAAGCTAAGAGATTGCCCTTACCGAATCTTCAATGCCATGCAGAGTATTGTAGAAGGAGCCTGTAAATTGTGGTGAGGGCTTCACCATGTCAAGAGAGGTATTAAGAGTATGACCATTGGCTTCTGTGCCATCAAGAACCATCAGTTCCACAATGCCCCTCCTCTCCTCTCCTTCCTCCTTCTCCTTCCATCTCACCCTCTCTCAATGATGCTAATATCAATGTTACAGGAATCAAGAAGAGCTTATACAGTGGCAGAATTTTTTAATTTAGAGGAGTTTCTTGCGTATCCAACTGTCATTCCATGTGAGTGATTTGATTCATTCACACGCTGTTTAGTGAAAAACTACTTGCCACGCACTAAGGAACAAAATGCTCATAAAAGTAAGGTGCAGAGGGGACATCGCGTACTAGTGTGGAGCAAGCAACCCTCGTGTGCAACTTCAGTGATCAAAACTCAGTGTGGGGAGATGAAAGGTCAATGGAGCTGTTGAGATTGGCCAGATGTTTGGTAGAAAATTACCCTGAATTAATGCTGCTCTGTGATGTGTCTCCTTTATCAAGACTTTCGTGTGAGCTCAAGCCTGCTCTTTTACACCTCCAGACCAAAGTCTAAGTAAGTAAGGCTGACTTTATCTTAACATCCTTGAGAATGGACAGCAAGGCAATCTAGTCCAAATCAGACTAAGCCCCACACACATAAAAAGAAAACAGTAAAATGAATAACTATTAACAATAAAACATGTCCACACTTTTAATACATAAGTGTATATACGTAACAGATGCCACAAAACTGGAGCTAGTCTTTACATTCATCTCTTGGGGACATGGTGTATAAATGTGAAATGCTGCAGAATTAATATTAAGATGAATTAATCAGACTCATGTGAGCCCAGACTAATCACAAAGGAAGACCTAGTGATGAATTAGGACAAGTCAACATGGAGCAATAGCAAAAATTAGTGAAAAAAAGAAATGCTGCATAAGTGACTAAGTTCATTGCAATGTATTTCTTAAAGCCTCACATTAAAAACTTCTATATGTGGCCAGAAGTCTGTATGGACTGTACATATCATGAGAAAGCATGCATTGAATTCAGAGTGGCAGCTGCCTCTGGTACCAAAGAAACGGAGAAAATGGTGTGGAGTCTTTTCTACAGTGTGTTATCTTTTAGAAAGAAGAAAGAAGCAAGCAAGACAAGAGTCACACAATTATCAATTCAGGTAGTACACAAGCCTGTTACGTGATGCACATACTTGACAAACATCACTGCTTTGGTTTATGTTATATCATGTAGTTTTTATGAATTAAAAGAAAACTAAACTTCTCCAGGTTATTCATAGAAGTATGTACTTTTAGTCATAGCTTCTTAGGAAACTGAAGTAGTAAGACCACTTTAGGAAAAACGTTCATAGCCAGCCTGGATAGCATAGCATCACATAGACGTTTATTGCTGAATGAATACAATCCCAAAATATTAGCTTACAAAGCCACAGAAAATAGATGTAAAACTACTCATATTAACCCCTTTAACAATGAGCTTCCGAACAGTGGTTCCAGTGGACTCTACTTGGGTTCTTTTGACAAAGCCGACCCTTCTTGCTCTGACCATCACCAAAGTCTCCTTTTAACATGTCAAGAGTTCCACCTATGCGCACGCTAAAACTCAAATGTCTTTCTTCATAATATATCGGAATTGTAGTAGCTTCTAGAGGTTCTCAGAAAATGTCGAGTCTTGGTCTATTGCTCATCTTTAAATAGGATATTTCACTATACAATGCCTAAGACTCAGGGAGCACACAGAAGTGGGACTAGAAAGAATGTGAGAGCCAGAAGACAGAGAGAATAGCTACAAAATCCCATCTTTAATTGTGAATGTTCAGCAGCTTTTGATACCTGCATTGGACCTGTCAACAATCCATCACGGATGCAAGAGGAGCTCATTGGCCCTTACTGCTCTTTGATGAACTGTTGGCTACTGATAAGTTCTGGGAAAAGAATAGTCATTGCCTTCAGTTTAGCACATCTGCTGGTGAAACCACCGAATTCTAATGGATAGTTCCGATGCTTCAAGTACATAGTCATACAGTTAGCCCTGGCTAAACTCAGCATCACAAAACTGAAGATATGAATATGGAAAAGGGACTTCTAGGAAGTAGTGAGGGTTGACAGTGTCAGGACAGAGATAAGAGAATCAGGGGTTAAGAGTAATCAGAATACATTATACACATGTATAAGATTATCAAGTAACAATATAAAGGAATAAGAGCAAAAAGTTAAAATGAAAATGCCAAGTCCCTGTTCGGTTTACAAAAGTGATACACTAAATGATGTTCGGACAAAACAGGGCATTATAATTGACAGTGGCAAATAAAATTCTTGAAGTAAGTTCACATTTAGGTTGCAAAGAAAATGCAGAAAGTCATTTATAGACTACACTCAGCTTCCCTTCATGTTGCTACCTCCATCAATTCATGAAATCTCAGAGGAAGATAAGCCACTTACACAACACAATAAACATCAAATATCATCCAGAAAATTCCATAGTTGGCTTTAGTCTAAGAAGAACTACTCCTAGTGAATGTTGGCTGAAAAACACAGGCAGAATTACAAATAGGCCCTGCCTCAGTTGAACCTGTGAATTTGAATGTTGGATTAACCACAGACACAAAGATGTCTCCCTGTGATCCCCAATTTCTTGTTGCTATTGGCTTGGATGTCAGTTTCATATCAACTAAAAGGACCTTTAGTCATCTACTACCTTATAATATATCATTTAAGAAAACAACTTCATTGTTTTATAAATATCAACAAGTATTAAACTCATCAACTGCCAAACTTCTCCTCTAGCTCCAAGAATCATTGAGACCTGGGAATGCAATACTGGTTTCTTAAATATTATCGAATACTTTTAGAAAGTACAAAGAAGCCAAGGACACCTATCCCATTGTCCCAAATTAGGCACAGATGCTGGGGACAAAGCATTGCCACTTTAGCGGGCTAGAAAACATTTTTCAGCTTGTTTTTCTCAAAACAACTGGGACTAGGCTTGGGCAGAGCTGCCCGTAAACTGTGTTACGACTTAGAACAGTGTGAGACTTTGCATAAACTATCTATGGCATTTAAAAGAATGGCCAGCGATTCGACATGTATCATTTTGGAATGCACTCTCCTTGCATTCTTAGTTGCCTGTCTCCCCACAGAGTGGTGGAGCATAACTCTGAGCTCTGAGCAGGGGGTCTTATCTCTGCATCTAAAGAATCCATGGTTAGAGACTTGGCCAACATGAACAAAGGCTTCCTATCACTTAAATACGATTTCCTCTTATCTCCTCAGCTTTATCAGGACTAGACAGGTCCTTAGCAGAACACAGTGTTGTTATTTTGTTCTCTTATTTTCCTATTTAGTTATCTGTTTGTTTTAGGATGCCTGTAATCCCAATCAGGGACAGTCAATCCAAATCGGAAAGGAGCAAACAAATCCAGTTGAACTTTGCCCAACACTCTCAGTTGATCTTGAAATCAGTTATGTTCCTGGGGAGGTGGAGAGAAAGGGAGACTCAAACCTTTAAGAGCACCCTGCTTTTGTGAGAGTTGCCTGGATTTCCTTATTTATCAGCCTAAAGTAAGGATGCGGCAGCATGTCAGGTTCACCAATGCTGAACAGAGAGCCCCACAGAAGCACAACTGAATGCATATTTATTGGAATGTTCTCTTTTTATCCTTTCAAAAAAGGCAAGTCTCCCTCCACAGAGATACAGTGAACAATGACTATTTATTGAATATGTTGTTGGGTACACGTGCATTACACATTCTCCTAGACTCTTAAACTCCCTCTACTGCTACTCTAGGCATCTCTGCTCTCCTTCATCTTTATCTTCCCTCTAATATCTCCAGTGTGACTGACTCCATGTCCTTTCCAGTCTTTCCCAGGATCCCTTGCTCAATCCACTTTTCACACCTCTGAAATCTAGTGAAGCCACTCTGTTTTCCTTCTAATATTTTAATCTTACAGGGAAAACTTGAATGATTGTGGTTGTCACTGGTTCTCTCATCCCAGACATGTCAGAGAAATAACCACAGAAGCACTTTTTTCTTGCCACATTGGTGTGAACAAGACCTGCTGTCTTCTTTGGCCTGTTTCACTATGTTGTGGAAGACAGTAAGGATATTTTAGAAAACAAACTTGCAGTCTCTAGTCTTTATGTCTCCAGAGAAAGATAAAGATGGGCTTCTCTGACACTCAATTACTCTGTTCTTCTCACTCCTGTGTTCTCTCAAACATTATTACCAATAGAAAAATGCTGCAACAACCTACATGTCTATAAATAGATGGATAAAACAATGTTAGTAGATACATGTATGGAATGCTAGTCACTTTAAAAGAGGAGAAAACCCTGTCACCTTCAACAAGTGTGAACCACAAGGGACATTATACTTTATGAAATAAGCTGGTTACAATAGTGGCATGACAATTATGGGGGTAATCAACCATTCAACATTGAATTAGAGGCCCACTCTACAAGAGGGGATTCATGTCCATTGCTGCATCTCTCAAGGGCCAGAGGATAGAGAGACCTTCTAAGGTCCATAGGCCATAGGAGAGAATCTAGA